CTCTTCATAGAAACCCTAGAAGCAACAAAAGACTTGCAGAAAGTGTGATTTATGAAATTTGGGATCAAGGGGTCTCACTTGTAGTTGTAGAGCTGCGTCAGAGTCCTCAAAGATTCTGCGGGCAAATCCCTTGTTCTCTTGGCTCATCACATCAAGAAAGGAGTATTCTACGTCATTCCCAAAGCCAAGACAGTACAGAGACATATTTCCACTGATAGCATTTTGCACATTTTTTTGGATCATGGCAGGGTTACTTTCCCCTGAAATAAGAATGAAAACATGAACTCTTAAAATGATTTTTTCTTCTTTCTAAATGTAGTTCAATAAGTTCATTACATCCTGAAATAGCTAACAGCATAATCTCAGCTCCAACTTTCCTTCCTACCTAATCTGAATGAAGACACACACACACAAACATACACACATGCATACATACATATATACATACCTGAATTTGGCATGCCATCAGTCAGTAACATAATTGCATCAGCACTTCTTTGGGGAAGTTTTTCATTTTTCCTTGCTGTGTGAAGCATCTCAACAGCTTTCAGCACCGCGTCATTAATATTTGTCCCTAAGTATTATGAAAAGAAGAGCGTAATATTTATACTGGATTTTTTGCACTGTTTACTGATGCTTTGCAGTGACGTCATGCTGGGGGTGTTCTGCCTGTATGTTTATGATGGATTGTTCAGAAGTTACCATGGTGACACAATGTATGCATTTGCACACACTGTCACATAAGTTTTAAGTTATTAATAAGTTATAAATACTAAATGGATTTAAACAATACTTTTTCAGGAACCTGTGATCAATACAAGGTTCATGGTGCTGTGTACGTGTTTGAGTTTAAAAAATGGTGAAACCAACTAACTGAAAAATGGTTGGCTAATGCTAGTTAGTTTGTGACTGTAATGTTATTTGAAAGGAACTTGTTTAACACCACAAATCAGCTCATCTGTTGTAATTCTAACTAAGTCAGTTCTTTTTGGACAGATTGTGTTAAACAAAGCTCAGATAGAGGTCTAACTACAGTAACAAAGCTTCAGACAGAGAACAGCCTCTCGTTAGAGTCACGCCCCCAGGGAATGTTGACGACATCAGCTGCAAAATATCAATAGTCATAACTGTAGAAATTGGCAAAGGAGAAATTCAATTTGTCAACTGGACAAACATTTATTTTGGTTGAAAACATTTCGCAGCTCATCCAAGCTACTTCTTCAGTTTGGGTCAGAATGCTGGTGGACACTTCCTTATATCTGCCTGAAGGGAGGAGCTAACTACACTGAAGCTACTCTGAAACTAACACTCTACTTGTTTACAGTTTTTGTTTATTAGCTAGGCTCTGTACTGAGTGTGGGGACATATTAGCATAATTATTCAGGCCCACCTCTGGCCCTGACCTGGCTACCCCTATTCTCTTTATTTTAAGTTTGAGGATGGATGGGAGACAGATGATGTATGAGGTCTCCATTTCTGTTCAAGGAAGAATTGTTTTTCCTACAAACATAGTTTCAACTCCCGTCTCTTTTGGTAGTGTCCACCAGTGTTCTGATCAGAAATGAAGAAGCAGCTTGGATGAGCTGTGAAAAGTTTTTGACCTAAATAAACATTTGTCCAGTTGACAAATTGAATTTCTCCTTTGCCATGGATTCGTGACGACTGAGGGATTCTACACACAATTTTGAAAATTGACTACCTCCCCATGCGTACATTCCCCTTGTTTCTTGCATTGCTTTATTGACAGCTTCCTTGGTAGCTTGTTGCATTGTTGATGCCAATGGTAAAACATCACTGCTAAACTTGACAATGCCAAAGTGATCCTCCTCTTGCAGGTCTTGGAGGATTTTTGTCATTGCCTCTTGAGTCTAGAACAACATTTCCATATTTAGAATCCAGGTCATTAGAGAGAATAAGGAATCATCTTCTATCTGTTTAATAGATCTGGAATTGTGCTGTGTTACCTGTATTATCTTTCTGCCACCCATGGAACCGCTAAGGTCAATAACAAACATCACATTCATTGGGACACGCCGTAGGTCAGGGGGAGCAAAGTAATGCACAAAGTATCCATTGATAACCTGGTTTAAAGAACACATGGGTTAAAAGCAATAATAATAATAAAATAAAATTAATTACTTAAGTGTTATTTTCTATTAAATCCAATGTTCAAGCACTGATTCCATTTAGCCACAATTAGCTCTACTATTCTGTAAAACACTTTGAATAAGTTTGTGTATGAATGTGTTAAACTTGACTGACTATTGCTTTTATAAAACTACTTTACTATACTCAGGAACTACATGCACACCATGCTATGCCATTGAATGTATTAGAAGTATTGCCATATAGATACTTACATTACACCTGCAACCTGAAAAACTGTTTTCAAAGTATATTTTAAAGGAGTTTGCCTCTCCACCAGCTAATATTTAAAACAATGGTGTTGTTACGACCCCCGCTTGGGTCTGTACTTTGTGGGTGCATGTTGTGCTGCTGCTGGCTCTCTCTCTCCCCCTCCCTTCCAGATTCCAGAGTGTGGGAGGGCCAGTCTATGAGCTGCACCATACTGTAGGCACCCACCACCTTTAAAAGCTGGCTGCTGGAGACTGCCCACTCTCTTCTTTTTCTCCTTTCCACCATGTTTCCACAATTTTATGTGTACCATGTTATTTAAATAAATACCTATTTTCCTTTTTAAACATGTGTGGACTCCATATTGTCCAAACCCTGAGCCAGTTTGTGACAGTGTTTTGATGAATACCTGTATATCGCCAAGGCCCTTTTCTCTCCTCACGTCATATTTTACAATAAAATCTCCATTAATCAATGTCTCTTCACAGTCTGGACAACTCCTCTGCTGCTCCAGTGTTGGCGAAAAGAAGACGCGTGCCTAAGCAAAGAAATAATGAAAACAATTGCAATTTTTAGTTGTGGATATAAAAAAAACAATTTCTAACATGCTTGAAATATAATTGATTATACTTTTTTGTCTGTTACAGTTTTCTCCACTAGAGGGAGCAGCTCATTAGAGAGGAAAGTGGACTGGACATCAACATGTGAAATTCCCTGAGGTTCAAAGATGTTTGTAACAATCTGAAAACGAATACAAATCATGTGTAAGCTTTTTAATGCATTTATGTATTATTGGAGATGGCTGATGTCACGTGTACCTTAAACTCTTGAATGGGCTGCTTGGGCCGAACTCGGGTAACGATCTCATACTGGCCCAGTTTTCTCTGTAAGAGCTCTTCGTATGTCAGCGTGAATGTTACACCACTTAAAGCTGCAATGTTAACAGAGACAGAAAACTTCTCCATCTTTCTCCCTGAAGCCCTGAAATACACCAGTTAAATTATGTGAAAAAGGAATCTATTTTTTATATTCACAGTGTTGTAGATGTATGTGAATATTATATGTTCATATAATAAGTAAAAGCCCCAAACCATTGAGTTACGTTTGACTCGGGGACGTCTCAATCATGTTTTTTTTTTTTTTTTTTTTGTGGCTCCCAATGTTTTCATTATTTACAATTGTATTTATGGAATTTATGCTGTGCCTTTAAAATTAAGTATTCCATGGTGAATTTAGCTCCAGTTGAATAAAATCTAAATCACATATAAAAAGTTCCCCTTAAAATAGCTTAATGATTTGTTATCATATTGTGTGGAAAATCCTCCTTCCCTCCCATTGTCCTGCCTTATTCCCTCCTTTGAGCTGCCAGATTCCACCACTGTAATATCCTTGTTAATGAAGGATGAGCGGACAACAGGTTGTAGAATGGTTGTAGATGACTTAGGTTTTACTGAACGTTACTCAATCACAGTTCAACAGTAACCGGGAACAACTGACACATTTTTCAAACCTTCAGCCTATACTGCCACCTAGTGGTCTACACGAGGTATAACATGTATCTACTACAACCACCATGTTGGCACAATCTTGTAAAAACTGGCTTTAACTCTCATATCAAAACTACAAAACATTTTTTCAGGCCCAAGTTTGACACAGTTTAGGCTAGTAAAAATCTTACCATATTCTTGTCAGTACTTCTTTTCTATGGGTAAAAAAAACAGATGGTTAGTCCATATGGTTGTTGTTGTCATAACTTGTAAGCAGCCACACACACACACACACACACACACACACACACACACACACACACACACACACACACACACACACACACACACACACACCTTTTTTAAATCTTTTAAAATCTTTTTGAGACATAAGTAGTAGAAGAATTAAAAGGAGAAAAAGAAAATGGATCATGAGTTTCAAAAATATCTCTATTTTACATATTGTGGGATGAGACTAATTAAAATCAGTGTCGTAATTGAGTGAATGTACATCACCCAGTTCTGACTGAGAACAGTGATCACATTTACCTGCAGTGATCTTGGGGCTCCACTGGAAAGCTAAAAGTACAGAAAATGCTTCAACTAATAATAAAAAAAAAAACAGCAACATAATCTAAACATACAAATAGGCCTACCTGCGTGTTGGCTGCTTCCTCCAAAGAAACCAGCACAGCTCCATGGGCCAGCCCAGGAAGCACAAGGCCCAGGCAGCCCCAGAGCAGCAGGCGTCGGACACCCAAAAGTCCAGACATGACCCAATCTACACTGAACACTCATACACTAGAACATCACCAAATAAGCAGTGCCCTGGCTGAAGGGAGGGCCAAAATTGTGTTTGTCTGAGTGAATGTTGACCAACAGGAGCAAGGACTTTTTGGAAGATAGCCAATAGTGCATGCATGATTCACGTAAAACAAAAATAAATAAATACATGTAAACATATTTTTTATGTTTTTGAATTAGAAACAAACTAAAAACGTTTAAGCTCCATGTGGCTAATCATAATTAATCATTATAATCAATTAAATAAGAAATACAATGAAAACACAATGTTCCCAGAAAGTTTACCTTTAATGCCATTTAGAAGATAACATGGTTTGTTTGTCTTAATGTACAATTATTGGTGATCTGAATTGCTTTCAGAAATTCTTGAAAAGACCTGACACAATGTAGTCACTTGCTTCTCCATCAATGAGGCCTGTGGCATTGTTGTGGATGAACCAGCAAGGGATGTTCTCTCCGTTCTTTATATTATTCCTGAAGTCTCTCTGCCAGCCTCTGTAAAACAAGATTGTTAAATTGTATTAATGAGGCAAAAATGAAATAAAACTGCTGTGAAACATGTTGCACCTTGTCACATTGAGCTGGTGTCCTTTTACAAACATAGTGGCATCTGGTTTCTCTGGGGATTCTCCTGGACGCAGGTCAGACACTTCAAACTCAATGTTGTGATAAAATTGACCTGGAGACAAAAGTGCAGAATAGATGGGTATATAAAATTGTAAAAATGGCTTAACTTCTTTTACTGTGCAAGACTGCTCTTCATCAAAGATTTTAATCACTGAATTACCTAGAAGACCATGGACATTGGGGGACAAAAGATGGCTATCTAGTGTGTAGAAGCCCAGGTAGTCTCTGTGGTATGGGTGCTTCTCCCACACTTTATGTAATAAGATCACAAACTTCACAGAGTCTTTTAAAGTCACAGTTAAGCTGCGGTCTTTGCTCAACAGTAAATCCAGACTAGGGTCAAAAGAGAAGCTCATTAAAGGTGGCGACATATAAAATGTATTAATACAGAACCAATATGAAAGTGAAAACAGTATTTCTGAGTTGACACTCACTTGGGTCCTTTAAGTGATGCTGTACCAGACCATAGAAGAGTGACCCATTTGCCGTCCTGGAACACAGAGATGTCCTGAGTGCTCACCTCCAGCTGTACTCCCAAGGTTTTATGGACAATTCCAAAGCGACTAAAATATGTATTGATTTGACCATCAGGGGGTATTGCCTTGTCTCCTATTGTCTGTCCATTTACCAGAATACCTGAACAACCATGGGAAGAGAGTGAGAGCTTGTAATACAATTTACTTGTAAATTAAATAAAAACACAAAACAATACCGGATTCTTGGTCTTTCACTAAAGTAAAGATAGTCCCAGGTTTGTTGTTAATATTGAAGCATAGAGCGTCTCCTCTGTCTGGCAGCTCAATCAGGAAGTGAGGGTCACCATCCACTACAGGATTACAAAATTATATAAGTGGAAGTATTGCGTGGCAGCCAGTGGTGAAGCACCCAAATTAACCAAAACAAACATGGCAACGCTGACAGATGTACATCAGCCTATTTTAGCGTCAATACAGACTATTTTGTTTGAGAAAAACACATGCAGAAGGTAAACCCTTTGTGCATTTGTGGACAGGGAATATGTTTGTGCCTTTCTTTTCACTGGATTTAACTAAAGTTAGATTTTTTGGCTTGTTCTGCTGTTGTAACGATTTAACCAATCAGATCATCAGAGATTGATAATGTGTAGAACTCAATTCAGAGTACTACACATATCAATCTGGTGTGAGCTAGATTAATAATAACAAGTTCAAGTAACAACTCTACACTTTTTCTTTTTTTTCATGGTAAAAACAAAGGTATTTGTATATTGCTGTAACCACTACTCTGGACCTGCCAGTTAGATAGGTTTACTTTGTAGTGATTCAGTGTGACACTGACACTTGAATGTGTCAATAACAGTTTTTTCCCACCAACCACAATGTTGACGTCTTACCCAGTTGAACAGGTTGTATGGGTCTGTGATAGCTTGTGCCTATAAGCAATAAATAAATTCAGGTGAGGCTTACTGGTTTGCATATGAACAACATTGAAATGCCAAAGTTCTCTTACTTGTCACTTTCATATGCTGTGCTGTTAGGCCCATTTTCTCTGCCTGTTGACGTTGTTCTGTGAATTAAAATAAATAAATCAATAAATAAATACTTTAAGGAAAAGCATGTCCAATAGGTAGAGAACAGTTATAGGACTTGGATGTACCCTCTGTCAACTTATCAGCCACTAGCGGTGGGTCTTCAGATTCTGGTTTTGTTACAACCATGGATGTGAGAGGGGTCACAAAATTATACTTCAGGGACATCTCTAGTGCTTCGGCTTTATGCTTGTCCTTTTCTTCAGCCCTGCCAGTCTTACTACAATTCAAAAATATAATTATATTAAAAACAGTATAATTTATGTTTTTAAAATGAGATGACTTTTTTGGCTGTTAAGGGGAAAAAGTTGTTAAAGATGCACTATGTAACATGGAGGACCTTTGGAGATGCCATTGTTTTGTCCAGAATATTCCACAGTGTGGCATTACATGAGAGAATTGATCCTGAGTGAAATTTAAACTGCACGTCTCAGTCGTCTTTAAGTCTCAGGCAAAGATCTTAGTGCAGCATAACAGGAGGAAGGTAGGGTCAGCAAATCTGTGTCAGGGCAGTTTGAGGAAAGGAAAAACCAAAAGTGTCCCTCCTTTGGGTCCTGCAGCACCACAGCAGCCGGCAGGGGTCAGCCAGGTGAACACAACAGGAAAGGCCTTGCTCTTGCTCCACTCAGGTGTTTCAGTCAGTGATGAAATGGCTCATTCCCTCAAAGTGTTTCCTTTGAAAAGTCTTATAGTATTTCCACTGGAGGGTCTTCTGTGCACATTTGGTGTAAAAAGCCTGTAGCATCTCAGAGATCCATAGCTAGCTCCTTAGTTACCCTCTCCACTCCACCCCATTGCAATGGTTGAACTAACCATATGTATCTATTGTGCATATATTTAAAAACATTTCACTCAAAAATACCTTAAAAACATGCATTGTTCCTGTGAGCCAGATCACCTGTCCGCTGATTTGACCTGTAACTTTACCTGTTAGTATCACCTGCTTGTCTTCATTGTGCTCGTTAGGTTATGTAAGGTTAGGTTATACAAAACTGTGAAACATTCTTGGCAAGGCAATAACATCTACATAAAGACAAGCAAGTGGGAGAATCTCCATCAGAAAAAGTTGCATGGTGCACCTTTTATTGATGAAAAGAAAAAGTTAATTGAGACCTCTTTTCCAGAAGCTGTTGAATGGTGAGATATGCCCACAGGCGCTCAGTAAAGTCTCCAAATATGTACTCCTCATCTGGATACATCACAGCCCAGTCAAGAGCACTGGCCTGGCCCTGCACCTCGTAGTCTTCAAGCTTAAAGGCAGAAAGACATAGGTGCTTTGAGGATCACCACACAAATTCTTAAAATTTCTGTTGTTGTACTTTTTAATGTTTTAAATCCACACCCCAACTCCGAAAACCTCCACAGGAAAATTATCAATGCTGTTATCCATAAGTCGACCGGCCACTACGATCTCTGTGCCGTTGAACAAATGGTCGAAGTGGTTTGTGGTCAATGAGTCCACGGTGGTGACGGGATACTTCAAATCAACCCCTAACAGCAGCGGACTAGACACCTCTTCATAGAAACCCTAGAACCAACAAAAGACTTGCAGAAAGTGTGATTTATGAAATTTGGGATCAAGGGGTCTCACTTGTAGTTGTAGAGCTGCGTCAGAGTCCTCAAAGATTCTGCGGGCAAATCCCTTGTTCTCTTGGCTCATCACATCAAGAAAGGAGTATTCTACGTCATTCCCAAAGCCAAGACAGTACAGAGACATATTTCCACTGATAGCATTTTGCACATTTTTTTGGATCATGGCAGGGTTACTTTCCCCTGAAATAAGAATGAAAACATGAACTCTTAAAATGATTTTTTCTTCTTTCTAAATGTAGTTCAATAAGTTCATTACATCCTGAAATAGCTAACAGCATAATCTCAGCTCCAACTTTCCTTCCTACCTAATCTGAATGAAGACACACACACACAAACATACACACATGTATACATACATATATACATACCTGAATTTGGCATGCCATCAGTCAGTAACATAATTGCATCAGCACTTCTTTGGGGAAGTTTTTCATTTTTCCTTGCTGTGTGAAGCATCTCAACAGCTTTCAGCACCGCGTCATTAATATTTGTCCCTAAGTATTATGAAAAGAAGATTGTAATTTTTAGACTGGATTTATTTGCACTGTTTACTGATGCTTTGCAGTGACATCATGCTGGGGGTGCTCTGCCTGTATGTTTATGAAGTTACACAATGCATACATTTGCACACATTGCTAAAAATATTTATCTGAAAACGCAAGAAAAAAATTACTAAATAGATTTAAACAACACATTTTCAGGAACCTGTGATCAATACAAGTGTTCATGGTGCTGTGTACGTGTTTGAGTTTAAAAAATGGTGAAAACAACTAACTGAAAAATAGTTGGCTAATGCTACCTAGTTTGTGACTGTAATGTTATTTGAAAGGCACTTGTTTGACACAACAAACCAGCTCATCTGTTGTAATTCTAACAGTTTTTTTTGGACAGATTGTGTTAAACAAAGCTCAGATAAAAGTCTAGAGTAACAAAGCATTAGACAGATCAGAGCTTCCAGTTAGAATCACATCCCCAGAGAATGTTGACGACATCAGCTGTAAAATATCAATAGTCTATCAATAGTCATAATTTAAAAAATGTACTACCTCCAACTGCGTTCAATCTACTTGTTTTTTGCATTGCTTTCTTGACAGCTTCCTGGGTAGCTTGTTGCAGTGTCGGATCCAAGGGTCTAACGTCAAAACTAAATATGACTATGGCAAAGTGATCCTCCTCTTGCAGGTCTTGGAGGATTTTTGTCATTGCCTCTCGAGTCTAGAAGAACATTTCCATGTTTAGAACATCATAGAATCATTCTCCATCTATTTAATAGATCTGGGAATTGTGTTACCTGTACTATTTTTCTGCCGCTCATGGAACCACTAACGTCAATGACAAACACTACATTCACTGGGACACGGCGTAGGTCAGGGGGAGCAAAGTAATGCACAAAGTGTCCATTGATAATCTGGTTTAAAGAACACATGGATTAGAAAAAAAAAAAAAGATTACTTGTTTTCTCTACTATTTTTTAAAACACAAATATATATATATATATATATATATATATATATATATATATATATATATATATATATATATATATATATATATTTTTTTTTTTTTTTTTTTTTTTTTTGAAGGAGTTTGCCTCTCCATCAGCTAATATTTAAAACAGTGGCAGTGTTTTGATGAATACCTGTATATCGCCAAGGCCCTTTTCTCTCCTCACGTCATATTTTACAATAAAATCTCCATTAATCAATGTCTCTTCACAGTCTGGACAACTCCTCTGCTGCTCCAGTGTTGGCGAAAAGAAGACGCGTGCCTAAGCAAAGAAATAATGTAAAAAAAAAATAGCTATTTTAATTTGTGGATGCAAAACATATTTTTCTGACATGTTTGAAATATAATTGATTATACTTTTTTGTCTGTTACAGTTTTCTCCACTAGAGGAAGCAGCTCATTGGAGAGGAAAGTGGACTGGACATCAACATTTGAAATTCCCTGAGGTTCAAAGATGTTTGTAACAATCTGAAAACGAATACAAATCATGTGTAAGCTTTTTAATGCATTTATGTATTATTGGAGATGGCTGATGTCACGTGTACCTTAAACTCTTGAATGGGCTGCTTGGGCCGAACTCGGGTAACGATCTCATACTGGCCCAGTTTTCTCTGTAAGAGCTCTTCGTATGTCAGCGTGAATGTTACACCACTTAAAGCTGCAATGTTAACAGAGACAGAAAACTTCTCCATCTTTCTCCCTGAAGCCCTGAAATAGACCAGTTAAACTATGTGAAAATCTATCTATCTAGAATCTATTTTTATATTCACTGTGTTGTAGATGTATGTGAATATTATATGTTCATATAATAAGTAAAAGCCCCAAACCATTGAGTTACGTTTGTCTTGGGGACGTCTCAATCATTTTTCTTTTTCCTTTTTTTTGGCTCCCAATGTTTTCATTATTAACAATTGAATTTATGGAATTTATGCTGTGCTTTTAAAATTAAGTATTCCATGGTGAATTTAGCTCCAGTTGAATAAAATCTAAATCACATATAAAAAGGTCCACTTAAAATAGCTTAATGATTTGTTATCATATTGTGTAGAAAATCCTCCTTCCCTCCCATTGTCCTGCCTTATTCCCTCCTTTGAGCTGCCAGATTCCTCCACCAAGTTTATAATTACAGCCCAAACACACGTGTCCACTCTTTGTCTTGTGCCGAGTTGGAGGAAGCTGTTTGTGGAGTCCCTTACCTGCCTTATGGATTAGTGTATAAATGAAAGTGAGTTTATTTAGTTCACTACATTTACATTCTGTTTAACCATGATCTTGCACTTATTATTTGCCACTATCATTGACTGCACTAATTCCTTTGTTCTTGCCCTTCTAGAAAACCGCTTCTCTGTAATCCATCCCTGCCTACTCCAGAATTCTTATTCACTGACAACCCCATGAATAAAATCTTAAACTGGATTTGGTGGACTTGGTGATTTTAATTATTCATTCACATTCAAGACATAATCTGGAACCGGAGAGTTACTAGAGTTAAATATTTATATTTTTCATATTGTGAAATAATGTCTTAAGCTTCCCAACACACAGCTTCAGGACATAGTGACATAGGGTGATGTTATAGCCTCTGTTTCTCAAGACAAGAAGCCTGCCCAAAGCACACGGCTACTTAACCTATGTAAACAAGTTAGCGCATCTGCCACTGCCTAATTCATCCAAAGTTCCATTTTAACTCTTAACGTTCCATGAAGAAACTGGAGATGTAAAACAAATAATTATTCTGCCATAATAAATGTGGATGTAAAGTGGATTTAGAGTCTCCTCAGTGTGTGTTAAAGTTGCTCTGGGTGCAGCGTTATCCACACAGCTGTGTACAGAGAAGACTATAATCTGTATCACCAGATTTATTCACCAAATCTGATCTAAACCGATACTCTAAAAATGCAGAGATCGGCGGCCAGTATCAGATTGTGATATCTGTCATGTTGTCTCTAAAATTGTATGCTATAGGGTATCAAAAATATGTGTTTCATTGTACTTTAAAATCTGAATGACTTTTTCTACAGTATGTCAACATTTACTTTTTAATGGTTGATTAAATAGTCAAACCTGCTCAATAGCCTATTATGGACTACTGTGCTGTAATTAAATTCAACCCTCAGCAAGTAAACTTTATCAAAACTATTTTTGTAAGTTCAAACAGGTTCTCTGTAAAATAATTGTCATGATCCAATTAGTTACACTGTTAACATTTCAAAATCAATGCTCCAAGGTCAGCATTTCTGCACATTTGATTTGTAGAACTATGCTAAAAGAGTCCATAAACTTTATCCATGCTTTGCCTGTTTCGTAACAGCAAAGTCAACATTATTCAGAAATACACAAGTTACTACATTCAGCTCAGTGCCCCTAAGTACGAAGAGCAATGAGATACAAAGAACAAGTGGGCGACTTACTTCACCAGCGCAGCGGTCTGTCCAGCTTTAACAGCAGTCTCGTACTGTTTCTTTGCCTTTTCCTTCTCCTTCACCACACCTACATACACCCGACCATCAATTTCCCTATGGCACAAAACAATGTTCACAAAATCTGTCAATTCCAAACCAGCAAGGATGTTCAGTTATGTTCCCTGATGTGCAGAACTGACATGCTGAAGTTGGTGATGAACGCAGTCTTGGGGAGCTCCACCTCAAAGAAAATTTCCTGTGAGCTGTTGGCCTTGTTCAGGGCCTTGGACGTCACCACGGTGTGAGCAAAACGCGAGGTAACTGTGCAGTCCACCGTCACGCTGTGCACCTCCACCTGGACCAATACAGTTTTTTTTCACTTTGAACCTTATATCAATTTTTGCGTTTTTACCACACTTTTTAAAGTAGGTCTATCTAAAACACAGTTGTCAGGTACTTAAAACTACTTAACACAGATTGCAACGGTCGCACTCTGCTTGTATGTACTATAGTCTGTGTACCTCAATATACAGTTTTACTAAACTCCATAGACTGAAAACATAAAGGACAAAACTTGAACACACAGGCATCACAATATGAAGATATTTTATAGAGAGACATAGAAGCAATAGAAATAGATAGCAGAATAAAAGATTTCTGTAGTGAAAACCTGTGAATGAGGTTTTCATTCAGAGACTTTGACATCGAAGTCTAACACAGTTTAGACATTACTGATAAAAATAGCACAAGTTTGAAAATTTAGCTTTTTTTGCTCCCTAAGTCATCAGAAACAGTGTGATACTGGTCCTACAGGTCTGTGACTCACTCTTACTATACATCTAAGAGTGTGGCAACATTCTCCTTGCCAGTGTTTGGATGATGGCTAGGTCAATTTATAAATCTGATCACTGTGTTTGTATTTTAAACACAAAGAGTATACAGAAAAGTATTTTACATTTTATTTTTTATTTTTTTTGGAAAAATTCTGAATTGTTTTGTGTCTTGTGTGAATAGTTATGCAGAGTGCCAAAAAGATTATAAAAAGTTTCAGAAAAGGAGCCAAAGCAATTAAAAGAAACTGTAAACAAGTTGTCATTGCTTCTCAAGTATTAAGTCAGTAGTTCCATTTGGGAGTGTATGTTGACACTTGGGTGAGTCGCTGGATGAATAGTGAGGCTTTTAGCTATAGGTCTTTAGAAATCTTACCATATTCTTGTCGGAGTTTCTTTTCTATGGATAAAAAAATTAAAAAAAAAAAAAAAAAGATGGTTAGTTCATATGACTGCTGTTGTCATAACTTGTGAACAGACAATTATAGCTGTCTAAAAAAAAAAAAAAAAAAAAAAAAAAAAAGCTGGACAAAATTTATTTTAGACACACTTTTTCTTTTTGTCTTTTTTAAAACTTTAGAGAAAATAAGTATATTAATAGCCTTATAAAATTGTATATGCAACCGAAACCATCAAGAATAATTAAACGGAGATAAAGAAAATGGATACTGTGAAGTTTCATTGAAAAGTTTGCTCTTTGAAAAGGGAAATTAATTTAACCATTTTAAATATGGTGGGATAAAACTAATTAAAATAAATGTCATAATTGAGTGAATGTACATCACCCACATCTGACTGAGAGTGATCACATTTACCTGCAGTGATCTTGGGGCTCCACTGGAAAGCTAAAAGTACAGAAAATGCTTCAACTAAAGATCAAAAAACAGCAGTATAATCTAAAAATATATAAAAAATATATACAAATAGGCCTACCTTCATGTTGGCTGCTTCCTCCAAAGAAACCAGCACAGCTCCATGGGCCAGCCCAGGAAGCACAAGGCCCAGGCAGCCCCAGAGCAGCAGGCGTCGGACACCCAAAAGTCCAGACATGACCCAATCTACACTGAACACTCATACACTAGAACATCACCAAATAAGCAGTGCCCTGGCTGAAGGGAGGGCCAAAATTGTGTTTGTCTGAGTGAATGTTGACCAACAGGAGCAAGGATCAAGGTTTACTAACTTTTTGGAAGATAGCCTAGCCTACATGATTCTCGTAAAAGAAAAGTAAACAATTACATGAATTTAGGCATTTTTTATTTTTATTTTTCAGAATCAGAAACAAACATTTACATGTGGCTAATCAACATGAATCAATATAAAATAGACATGACACATACAATTGTGATTGTGGCATTAATAGGTAAGACATTGTAAAGATGTGTTTATAGTAATCAATGAGAATGTAGGCCTAGTTTCAAAATAGGTACAAACTCTGACAGTCGGTGTAATTTTACATGAGGCAAATGACTTTAAGAAGCCATAATATTAGTGTTGAATGTAGGCTACATTCCTGAGCCATGGGTAAAATGTAGTCTTAGCTATAAACCATTTGCATGGCTTATTAACAAATAAAACTAATTCGCAACCAGTTCACAAATATTAGTCCAGAGATCGTCGTAAGTGATGCAATGAGCAAGTAAAGTCAATAAATTCAATCTGTATGTGGTTACTTGCTGAACACACTGGCTCCAGGAGTTTTGGTGGCACTGCCGGGCTTTTCCAGAACAGTTTCAGTTCCTGTCCTCACTCCGCTGAAAACCGAGGGGGCGACTTTTCCCATTCGCTCTGAAAGACAGAAGCTAAACGTAAAGAATAGCCCACGTATGGCGAACAGGCACAGCACATGAACCGTGGAAGTGCTTCTAATCCCAGAATTTAAGTTTCTATAGACACTACGTGTAATACATCCATGTCCATGTTTAGAGCTAAGATATGTACAGCAGCGCCAGAGCGCTATCTTCCCTGGTGGTCTAGTGGTTAGGATTCGGCGCTCTCACCGCCGCGGCCCGGGTTCGATTCCCGGTCAGGGAACTTAATTTTCGTACACATTCATACACAAAGGATTGCTTCCATTTTGAAAATACCTCTGAAGAAGTACGTATATTGAGGTATGTATCCTAATAAAAGTAAGCATATACTACTCACCACACTCGACCATCACTTCATAAGTCTTGCTCTTAACCTCGCCCTTCAATCCCAGTTTACTCCGAGCGCCCTTTAGGTCTTCCTCTTTCATCGGGGGTCGCTTTTTCCTCTTTACTTCTCCAGCCTATTCCATATCAGTAAAGATTACACAGACTGAGAGGTTGTAATATCAGATTTAGTTAACTTCTAATTTAATTAAAATCTCACTCACCTGTGACATGGTCTCGGTTCAATGTTTTGTCCTCTTGTGTCTGTCTTTGTGTGGCTCAAAGTAACACGTCGTATTTATAGTCCCATTTGTTCCAGACTTCTAGTGCCCCAGCAGTCAGTCTGTTGTCAGAGTATATTATTAGGGGTGACGTAGGGGTCCCTAAAGGCCCTCTTAGTTTTAATAGGTCAGCAGCTGATCATTATAAAATGTTGTGGCTCTTTGATATCCAATCCAAGTTTATTTGTATAGCACATTTTATAAACAAGACAGTTTCCAAAGTGCTACACAAAATAGCAACATAGTGGTCTAGCACATATAAAGTTAACCCAATGTTCATGTTGGCCATAAACGTAAACAAGTCTGAATGTTTTGGGATGCACCTCAGAGCAGTGGTGGAAAGAGTAGCTCTATTTGGCAATTACTGGACAAGACAAACTTTATGTTACAATATTTATTGGAAAAGCTTCAATAATAATAATTTATCATTTTATTTGAGTAGTAACACACAATACTAAACCATGATCCTCCAGACAACTTTCATAAATAAACAGTGACTTGTTGTACCCAAAATATCATAATGGGAAATAAGTCTGTTTAGTCATTCAGTGTTATTGATAGATCAGCCATGCATTCTGTCATCCCCACCACAAATACCCAGTTGTAAAATACAAACAAAAATAAACTGCACTCAAGTAACTAACTACTTCCCGCATGGTCCTGGTCCATAGTCATTAACAGTTTATGGGTCTATGCATGTCACATTCATGAGATCAGAGCCAGCTGAAGTCCCCAAGGCCCTGGTGGAATAGATCAAATATAATATAAAAAAACAGAATAAAACACAAAATAAATCACCTGCTGGTAAGTTCACTCAGGCACATTATTTAACACAAATACAAAGGGAAAAAAACCCAACAAAAAAACAGATTGTGCAAATTCCTGAACAATAACATAAAAGAATCAAACAATTTACCAAAGCTGTTCAAAATTTGGCCCAAAAAATTTAAATACAGTATAAGACAAGGCTCAGACAACACACAGAGAACGTCAAAGCATTTCAAATAACAGATAACTGTTCTGTGCTCACTGTGGGACACATTGGTCTTTTTAAAATAGATGGCTGATTATTTAGTTTTCTTACAACCCCACATATCAAAAATTATCTTTCTACATTACATGAAAGTAACACAGTAGTAAATACTGAAAATGTTCAGGATGTCTTTGCATATTAAAGTTATAGTCTGCTGTATATTTTATTTAGTGTACTTTAAAACATATTATTTGCTAAATAACTAACCATATGTAATTTAGGAAATGGTCAAAAATCAATTAAATGGTAAGTTACACACATCTCTATCTGGAGTGGATGGCATTTTTTCCTCTCATCTCTTTCAAAATATCATCCCCTTTTACTGATGTTTTTATTATTGTTCTAATGTTCATTTACAGTAATTTCCATTTTGACCACATGATTTTTACACAAATACACAGATTACAGGACAGTGAAGAACGAGTAGTTGAGAGACAAACAATAACTGTTGTATTGTATATTCTGTATTTTAAATTGCTGTATGGTGACCTTGAGTGTCTGGACAGGCGCCTCAAATGTATTACTGTTATTAAACCATTACCCATAAATACATGATGTGTAACTTTTCATATTTATCATAATCCATAATTTGTATGAGTTTTCAGTAGTTTATTGATGTAATTTGTAAAATGTGTAATGTAGTAGGAAGAAGTGGTTATAGTATGAAAAAGGAATCATTATTATGCAAAATGGTAACAGACATCCACAGCTGACAGGTTACTATATTAGTTCCCTGTAAAAAAAAGAATGAAAAAAAAAAGTTTAAGGTAGTTCCCTTGATGCATTCCTTTGCGTACCTCTCAGTCTGTTCAGTAAAGGGGAATGTGGACTCTGTTGTGAGGTGATCTGCTACCATAGACTCAAAACAAGTTTTTGGAGGCACAGGTCAAACTGGTATCCCCATACGATGTTTCTTTTTCTTAACAGTCTTTAAGCCGGTGAGACGACGGACATCATCCTCTTCCGATTCATCCATCTCATCATCAGCTGAGAAGAGGATCTAAACAATGAGAAGACAAGATTTATTTAACATAAAAACATTTTACATTTAACATAAAATCTCAATCTGAATAAAATCTGAATCTGAATAAAATCTGAATTTATAAGTAAGTAACTATTTTATGGAGATATGCAAAGCTCATACATACAAACTCCCAAATGTCAGCAGCATATTAAGCAGTTGAAGCTTATCACATGTATTAATAAACAGTAGCAGCTCCTCCACATTTTAGCTGTTTTGAGCTCTTGCAGCCACTCACTGCTGTAATTCAAAAGAAAAATGAAACTTGATCTTAAAAATAGGACATGAGGAAACACTGTATATCATGGCCCTGCTCTACACCCTATAAGACGTCAGTCATGGCATATGGTATATATATTCTTTGTCAAAAAAAAAAAAAAAAAAATCAGTCTTTTACAAATATTGTCAGATGTGAATAGAGCTGATAAGAGTGTGTGCGCAGATCTAGAAGCTGAACTCAATGATATGCAAATTAACCCTCTATCTAAAAAAAAATGTTCCCTCGTGCCTCCTGCAGAATAAGACACCCTGTAGAGGGAGCTAATTCATTAAAGTCAATGGTAATTTTCTTTTAATTCATATATTATATAAAACAATAAGCATTACAGATTCGAAAAGTGATAGCAATCATAGCAAGCATATTCAGTCCAAATATGAAATAAATTGAATGCCAGTTTTTAGTTGAAGGGTTGAATGTCTGAAACAAAGTTTTGTCACGATAATTACTATTTTGACTTAACGTTCAACACATAGATGTAACAGTTGTTTTCCTTAATATTTTAGGTACCTTTTCTTTATACTAGTGACGAACTTTTAGCAATTTTTTACATACTACGATAAAATTTGAGCTGTAGATAGTTGAATAGATGACTGAATCAGTTATTCGTTAAGCATTTCAATTAATTATTGCTTTTGGTTATCGTGTCAGTGGCAAAATGGCATTCAATATTATCATATATTGTCTATATTTTTTTCCAGCGATTATATTGAACTGTGGCAAGACAAAAAAATGTTCAATCTAGGTGTTGAAAAAAAAAAATAAATCAAGCCAGCCAGGAGCTGAACCCAGAATCTTCTGATCTGTAGTCAGACACGTTATCCATTGCGCCACTAGCCCACATAGTCCCACTTTCAGACCCCTTCCCCAGTGTCTGGAACTTCTTCCAGCCTTTGGTGGGCAAAAACTGAGCTTTTTGAGAACGGGTTCCAGAGTGGAGGCGGTGCGTTTTCGTGAGGACAAGCAAACTGCAGCTTTTGGAAAATGACATCACGGTCCCGTCATTGCCAGGGTCCTCCGATGCAGCGAAGCCCGCAGTCCACGAATTGGCCTCCACAGACCGCAAGAGCGTTGCCAAAATGGGACAGGTGTAGCCTACGGAGCCGCTCCTGCTGCCCAACATCTGAGACACGCTGTGCGCTGATGCGGTTCTGCTGCTGTCAGACTAAAGGACACGACTCAGTGGAATATATGGGTTCTTTCTGTGACTTATGTTTAACTTTTGCAAAACAAAACAGCTATATTTCTGGGATACATCTAAAATTGGCTAAATAAACTTAAAGTTTAAAAAATAGTGATGAGATATGCATTATTAAATATTATCATCATTGTTAACAGCGCACATACAGGTGTGGCAGATGTATTACATAGTTTTTTCTCAGTGCTAGGTTGCCGTGTGGATGTGAATATTTACTGATTCGGCACGTGTGTGGACCAGGGCCCAACTGATATGGATTTTGTTGCGGCCGATTTGATACCGATAAAATCGGAGTTGGCGCTGCCGATAGCCGATATAATCCCCAATATATTTAGTGATGTAAAAAATTCACTGTAAATTTTGAATTGTTTAAAAAACTTAGGACTGGATTTTAAATTGGGTTTATTTAGGCAACATTTATTGTTATTCTCACTCTTTGCGTCATATTAACAGACAGTAGGTCAGACTAATGCCATTTTTGCATCACATTCTAGCTACTAGTGATGGGTATTCCAGTTCTTTTTAGAGAACTGGCTCTTTTGGCTCGGCTCACTAAAAGCAGCTGGCTCTTTCGGCTCCCAAGTGACTCTTCAGGTTGTTTTGTTGCAAGCAGGACTAAACCAGAATTGAACCAGGACTAAGTGTCGGGACTCGGTCTCTATCTTTCTCCCTCTCTCAAGCCCAAGATTAGTCCTGGTTTATTTATTTTATGCTGAACTACAGCCAAATATGCAAGTTTTTTTCTATCCTATGCACATGCATGATGTGACTCTGGGGGTGTGTTTAGGGACAGTACGGACACACACACAGACAAATGACTCTGCAGATAAATACTGATCCAGAGCCACATATTAGGACATTTATCGGTCTGGAAATTGAATTAAATGAGCATAATGTAGAGAGTCTAAGCTTTATAAAGAAGTATAACATGCCCACGTGAAATATCGGCAAGATTTTCGGCAATATCGGCCGATCGCCAATATGTTTCCAGGTGCCCATATCGGATAATATCGGCAAACTGATATATCGGCCGGGCTCTAGTGTGGACATAAATTTTTTTCAACCCGCAAAGAAAAAAAATCCAGGAGTGTTGTCGTGTGGACGGAGCCTGAGATGACCAGACACACCTGATTGCAGTTTTCTATAGGTAAGTAAGATTCAATGTTCATATACTGGATCCCCAATTGCTATTTAATTTACTTAGAAAGGTTTGACTAATCTGCAAGGTAAACAAAACAAAATATTGATTATTAAAGTAAAAAAAAGTGACCTGTCCCCTTTGGAATAGCAATGCTTTGTTGCAAAATAAAACTTTGCAATATAATACATTTTAAGATAATTAGATTCATCCTCACAAGCCTAGTTGGACGAGTGGTATTTGATAAGCTACTAGTGGCAGAGTAAACTCCACCAAATACTTCTGATGTTTCAACTTTAAACAAAATATTAAAAAGGACAAATATCCGAGCCAGCCAGGAGTCGAACCTAGAATCTTCTGATCCGTAGTCAGACGCGTTATCCATTGCGCCACTGGCCCGATATTTGTGCCAGAAGAGTACCCTCCCCCCACCCATTGATGAACCCCCTGTGACGAACTCCCATTGACAAGAAGTGGCACAATTTGGAATATGCAAGCCAGAAATAGACGAGAACACAGCATGTAGAACACTACTGTACTTAGTCAACGTCCCACTATGTTCATATACAAAATAATGATGTACCAACTCATGACTCATGTGCTCTCACACCTAAAAAAGAGCAGGGGACACCACCCAGAAACTGACACCAAAATACACAAACCAGCAAGGACTCAAACCTAGAATCTTCTGATCCGTAGTGAGACACGTTATCCATTACACTGCTGGCCCACAGAGCCATATGCTTTAACTACTGCAAAAAAGAATGAGCATATGAAGAAAAAGAAGCAGAAGTGAAAATGGCAGCAATAGAAAAAGCACAGAATTAAAATTGCTCTTTGTAGACTTTGAGTGTATTAAATACAAGATATTATAGGAGAATTTATACATACCGTAATAACTGTCACTACAAAATTTATGGCTACCAAATCAATAATACAGTAGCGTAGTAATAGTGAGTATTTCAGGATTTTAAATAGTTTGTATTAATATGTATGTGGTACCATGCAGTAATGTTAAATACAAAAATAATAAAATGTTCTGTTTTGCATGCAAGCATCAGAAAAGAACAGCGAGCCAGCCAGGAGTCGAACCTAGAATCTTCTGATCCGTAGTCAGACGCGTTATCCATTGCGCCACTGGCCCACAAAGTACCACCCATCTGCTAAACTGAATACATATACTCCACTTACTCCCATCCCCCACCATTAACAAAGCCATGTGCATTTTAGCTACAGCAAAGATTTCAGGGCTTGCAAGCCCAAAACACAGACTTAAGAAGAAAAAATGCCAGTCTAAACAAAAAGTTATCCAATATAACCCACATACCTTGTTACTGTGTAATTTGTGCACTGCATATTTTTCAAAAAGAATCAGTATCCAAAAAGTACAAATGTTGCTAGGCTTAGCTTTAACTTTCACCACCAACCAATGTATGGTTAATTAATAAGCTAAATGACTATATAGACATTAGGACTGGGTGAAAACAGTCTATGGCTATGCTAGTGTTTATGCGTGGTAGCCATTCAGAAGCTAAAAGGTCAACATGAGTAAAAGTTTTAAAAATGATTTGGCCCATTCAAGATAATCAGTGCTTTGCCTGAACCGATCAACAATGGTGTTGAAAGTCAAGACACTCCACAAGCCAAGAATAGGCAAGAAATCACACAACTTCTCAGTGGAAGTACAGTTCTTGTACTCATTTTATGTATTTGCTGAATAAAACAGGTTTATGTGCCTTCCTGCATCTTCCAAACTCATCACTGACACATTGACAATTCTACTGCTCCTATGCTGCATGAAAGCTACCCATCTTAACAAGATATCTGTGCACAAAACTGATATTTTTTATTTATTTATGTTTACGTTCATTTTGTTCTCTTGAATAGACATTAGGGCTGGGAATCATATGATATAACAAGATGCATGCACTAATTTACATATTGGACATGATATTTTGCTATATTATACCATTTTTGTATGTATGAGTCTGTATTAAAGCTTTTATTTATGAGTTGTAGCTTCTTTAAAAAAGGTCATATAATATGCACTGTACAAAAGAGCCAGCAAATAATGCTATGTCTGTGTGTGGCTCCATACTGAAATTGAAAGTATTTAGTATGAACTAAAACACAGGCTGATGAGAAATGACTGAATCTCCATCTCGACTAAAAGTGATAAATTGCGCAGCTTTAAACTAGCACTTGCCTCAGACTCAGAGTCGTCGTGTGACATGGCTCTCCTGTAGCGAACTTTGCCATTGCCCCGTGAGTCTTCTTCCCTTTCTTCAAGCTTTGCCTTTGTTCTGTGCTTCTTCATAAGAAAGTTATCAACAACCCAAAACATTAGGGCCTGTATCAAAACAAATACTCATATTAAGATAAAAGGTCAAACAAATATACATTTGTATAAAAAGACATTCATAAAGAATGCTTAATGTGAGTACACCTTGCTAAATTAATTGTTAATATATTGTCAACAATGAAAGAATAAAATTCATAAATGGCAAGAATCAAACTTACATTCACAAAGAACGGAACAATAAGCATGACAATTGCAAGCTCCAATTCAGGGTTGTTAATGGGGTTGAGCACAGCCAACTGCAACAGAGTAACAATTTTATGTGTCTCTTACATTATTAGCACTAGGTAGATGCAGTGCAGGTTTTAGGCATGTACCACTGTCAAATAATATTTAAACTGAGATAATAGATTTGTTTTTAATGATTTACTATTTGTGAATTTTAGGGTAACTGACCTGTTTCCACTGAGGGATGAGCAGAACTAGCATGATGAGAACTTTTTCAAACATCATAATGAGAATGTAGAGGATACACTGACCAAGCCAAGCGGTGCATTGTACAGGCTCCCCTGTGTGCAGAAAAGGTCCGCATAATATCCTTGTATAAATCATAACGTGCAAAGACAATAGTACCACATAAAATGTGTTACTCACCATATTCACCAAAACGCAGAGATTCCCACTGCCTCCACTCAACTATTGCACTGACAGCTCGTACACCAGCGTAAATTATCAACATCCCCAAAGAAGCATCCAGTAGAAAATTTATGAGATATCTAAGACAAAAAAAAAAAAAAATCACAAATGAAAATATACATCCAGAATTATTAGTAAAGACAACCAAACATAAACTAGTCTTACAGCGAGCAAGGATCCTCCTCCGTGAGGTCAGACAAGTAGACATTAGCAAAGTGAATGAATAGCATTCCTATTGCCTGTTTAGAAGTATCTAGAAACCTACAAAAACAGAAAAAAAAAAAAAAAAAAAAGATTAACAAAACATTTATATAGGTCAGCATGTAGTGTATGCTATATTTGCAACCTCAGTACATTTTTTTGAAATGTTTTTAATACAATATAAACATCCATCTAAATCTAAAAGTTTTTTGTTTGTTTGTTTTGTTTTTTACAGTAATATAATTTTACCTCCTTGAACCGTCCCCCTCCTTGAACCGTCACCTTATCATGGTGGAGGGGTTTGAGTGCCCGAATGATCCCGGGAGCTATGTTGTCAAGGGCTTCATGCCCCTGGTAGGGTCACCCAAGGCAAACAGGTCCAGGGGGACGGGTCAGACGAAGAACGGTTCAGAAGCCCCTTATGATGAGTGCAACACAGAGGCCAGTTACGTCGCCCGGATTGGCGTCACCGGGGCCTCACCCTGGAGCCAGGCCTGGGGTGGGTGCTCGTCAGCGAGCGCCTGGTGGCAGGGCCTTCCCCCACGGGGCCCGGCCGGGCTTAGCCCGAAGGAGCGACGTGGGGCCGTCCTCACGTGGGCCCACCACCCGCGGGAGGAGCCATATGGGGCCGGTGCAGAGAGATCTGGGCGGCAGTCGAAGGCGGGGGCCTCGACGACCGGATCTCCGGACATGGAGACTAGCTCTGGGGACATGGAATGTCACCTCGCTGGGGGGGAAGGAGCCTGAGCTTGTGCGGGAGGTTGAGCGTTACCGACTAGATATAGTCGGCCTCACCTCCACGCACAGTTTGGGCTCTGGAACCCAACTCCTTGAGAGGGGCTGGACTCTCCATTTCTCTGGCGTTGGCCGCGGGGAGCGGCGGCGGGCTGGTGTGGGCCTGCTCATTGCCCCACAGCTCAGCCACCGTGTGTTGGAGTTCACTCCGGTGAACGAGAGGGTCGCGTCCCTGCGCCTTCGGGTCGGGGACAGGTCTCTCACTGTGGTGTCGGCCTACGGGCCGAACAGCAGTGCTGAGTACCCGGCTAGACAGTGCACCGACCGGGGACTCCGTTGTTCTCCTGGGGGACTTCAACGCCCACGTGGGCAACGACAGTGACACTTGGAGAGGGGTGATTGGGAGGAACGGCCTCCCCGATCTGAACCCGAGCGGTGTTCTGTTATTGGACTTCTGTGCTAGTCACGGTTTGTCCATAACAAACACCATGTTCGAGCACAAGGGTGTCCATAAGTGCACGTGGCACCAGGACACCCTAGGCCGGAGGTCGATGATCGACTTTGTAGTCGTGTCATCTGATCTCCGGCCGCGTGTCTTGGACACTCGGGTGAAGAGAGGGGCTGAGCTGTCAACTGATCACCACCTGGTTGTGAGTTGGGTTCGCTGGCGGAGGAGGAAGCCGGAAAGACCTGGCAGGCCCAAGCGTGTAGTGAGGGTCTGTTGGGAACGTCTGGCAGAGCCCTCTGTCAGAGGGACTTTCAACTCGCACCTCCGGGAGGACTTCTCCCGGATTCCGGGGGAGGCCGGAGATATGGAGTCCGAGTGGGCTTCATTCTCGGCCTCTATTGTCGATGCGGCTGCTCGGAGCTGTGGGCGTACGGTCTGTGGTGCCTGTCGCAGCGGCAATCCCCGGACCCGGTGGTGGACACCGGAAGTAAGGGATGCTGTCAAGCTGAAGAAGGAGTCCTATCGGGCCTTGCTGGCTCGGGGGACTCCTGAAGCAGCTGACGGGTACCGGCGGGCCAAGCGTGCTGCAGTCCGTGCGGTTGCGGAGGCAAAAACTCGGAGCTGGGAGGAGTTCGGGGAGGCCATGGAGAAGGACTATCGGACGGCCTCAAAGAGATTTTGGCAAACCGTCCGGCGCCTCAGGAGGGGGAAGAAGTTCTTCGCCAACACTGTTTACAGTGCGGGGGGAGAGCTGCTGACCTCAACTGGGGACGTTGTCCGGCGGTGGAAGGAATACTTTGAGGATCTCCTCAATCCCACCGTCACGTCTTCCGAGGAGGAGGCCGAGGCTGGGGACTCGGAGGCGGACTCATCCATCACCCGGGCTGAAGTCACTGAGGTGATTGGAAAGCTCCTTGGTGGCAAGGCTCCGGGGTTGGATGAGATCCGTCCTGAGTACCTTAAGTCTCTAGATGTTGTGGGGCTGTCTTGGCTGACACGCCTCGTCAACATCGCGTGGCAGTCGGGGACAGTACCTCTGGACTGGCAAACCGGGGTGGTGGTCCCTCTGTATAAGAAGGGGGACCGGAGGGTGTGTTCCAACTATAGGGGGATCACACTCCTCAGCCTTCCCGGTAAGGTCTATGCCAGGGTACTGGAGAGGAGAATCCGGCCGATAGTCGAACCTCAGATTCAGGAAGAGCAGTGTGGTTTTCCTCCTGGCCGTGGAACACTGGACCAGCTCTACACTCTCCATAGGGTGCTCGAGGGTTCATGGGAGTTTGCCCAACCAGTCCACATGTGCTTTGTGGACTTGGAGAAGGCATTCGACCGTGTCCCTCGTGGTGTCCTGTGGGGGGTGCTCTGGGAGTATGGGGTTCGGGGCCCTTTGCTAAGGGCTGTCCGGTCCCTGTATGACCAGAGCAGGAGCTGTGTTCGCATTGCCGGCAGTAAGTCAGACCTGTTCCCGGTGCATGTTGGACTCCGCCAGGGCTGCCCTTTGTCACCGGTTCTGTTCATTGTATTTATGGACAGAATTTCTAGGCGCAGTCAGGGGCCGGAGGGGGTCCGGTTTGGGGACCACAAGATCTCATCTCTGCTGTTTGCGGATGATGTTGTCCTGTTGGCTTCATCGAACCAGGACCTGCAATGTGCACTGGGGCGGTTTGCAGCCGAGTGTGAAGCGGCTGGGATGAAGATCAGCTCTTCTAAGTCTGAGGCCATGGTTCTCAACCGGAAAAAGGTGGCTTGCCCTCTCCGAGTGGGTGGGGAGTCTTTGCCTCAAGTGGAGGAGTTCAAGTATCTCGGGGTCTTGTTCATGAGTGAGGGAAGGACGGAATGGGAGATTGACAGGCGGATCGGTGCAGCTTCGGCAGTGATGCGGTCGCTGTATCGGACCGTTGTGGTGATTTACCGGTCAGTCTTCGTTCCTACTCTCACCTATGGTCATGAGCTCTGGGTAGTGACCGAAAGGACAAGATCGCGGATACAAGCGCTTGAAATGGGTTTCCTCCGTAGGGTGGCTGGGCGCTCCCTTAGAGATAGGGTGAGGAGCTCAGTCACACGGGAGGAGCTCGGAGTAGAGCCGCTGCTCCTCCACGTCGAGAGGAGCCAGTTGAGGTGGCCCGGGCATCTGTTCCGGATGCCTCCTGGGCGCCTCCCTCGGGAGGTGTTCTGGGCATGTCCCACCGGGAGGAGGCCCCGGGGAAGACCCAGGACACGCTGGAGGGACCATGTCTCTCGGCTGGCCTGGGAACGCCTCGGGGTCCCCCCGGAGGAGCTGGAGGACGTGTCTGGCGTGAAGGAAGTCTGGGAGTCCCTGCTTAGGCTGCTGCCCCTGCGACCCGGCCCCGGATAAGCGGACGAAAATGGATGGATGGATGGATGGATAATTTTATTTTTTATCAAAAGTTTTATCAAAAGTTAAAAGTTTTTAAGATTTCTCCATGCCATGCAGCTAGTAAGAGCTAGCCTGCCTTTTATATACCTAACTGGTCAAAGGTTTTAAAAAATGATTAGAATCTAGTGTAAAAGCCCTTACCAGATTTTCCAAGGTCGTCTTTCATGTTTGGGCTCCCGAAAACGTTTTACTGGAAAAAAACAAAACATAAAACATCTATCCATATCATAAAGACCTATGCGATAATATTGTATCCTCATCAAAAAACATACCATGAGCTGTGTTTTGTTTTATTCACATGCTTAAAACACAAACTCTGCATATTTAGACAGTTTCTCTGAACTCTGTTCAAACTTGTGGTGTAAAGTGCCATACACCTTCATGACATCACAAGGTGGAACAGAGCATTTTGAGTTTTAGAGATGTATATAGACTAATAATACAGATTTTCCACACATGAAACACAAAGCCAGGTACATACTCCAGGTATGTAAATGTGGCTTAAAGCTGAAAGATGGGAGATGTAAGCAAAAGGCCACATTCATTTTCATACAGACACTGAAATGTTTAGCCATGACCTCAGCTTCTGTTTTGGGCAAACTATGACATCAGAATGTTCACACCCAGTGCCCATATGGGTGGGCCAGTGTCAGACACAGCAATAAAGTGTTTAGAAATTCAGTAATCACATTTTCAGACCACATGATTTGTGGCTTCTGGAGTACTGGATGTGTTTTTATGTAAGAAATGTGTGCACGAATTATCCTTTTTAACACAACATGGGCTTAAACTATGCACAAATAATTATATTATTAAATAATTAGAAGTGTAAAAAGAATTCAGCATATAAGATGTCATATTAAGTCATGCTGATATCGTTTATTAAAAATTAGCATTCATCTCATGGTGCTGTTGAAAAAGAATAAATTATAGACTGTGAACTTGCCTTTTAAAAAAGAAAATAGTCTTAGGATAATTGGTTCAGTTTGTTAGATCGGTGGTAGGATACATTACACAAACAAAAGATACTCACACATAAGGATGCTGAAGGCCATCACAGCCAGGAGACCTTGCAGGAAAATCCCAAAGGAGTCCATGAGGGCCCCATTCTCACAGCCCCGGGTGTCAGCGCCAGGGTTCGCACTGGGGGCCGCCGAGATGTTGCTGAGGGACAGGGCAGGCTGTGCTCCTGCTACCACCGGACCACTCAACATGCTGGATCCACTCACACCAGCCATGAGACTCCGATGTCCACCAAAAACACAGGGCACTCGTGGTAGTTGTTACACCCGGGTGTTGGTCAGCTAATCGACACGCTGAACAGGACAAACTGAGGAGAACGACGAAGGCATCCTTTTTGATGAGCGCTAACTCTCATTCTCGTGATTTAATGCTCAATCTCATCATAATAATGTGTATTACGGAGCATATAAGTCACCTTATTATTATTATAAATACTAAATACAATCATAAAAGAAGGAACTGCACTAGACACATCTTACTTCAAGCAGCGCGAATTCAGGTTAGGACTCATTCATGAAATAGTTGCAGGATTTAAAACAAATAATTCTGGTGTGCAGGTGTAAAAATGCTCAAAATGAAAAGAGAATCCAGGGGGATTTTTGAAGTCCTGTGAAAGGTTTACAGCTGCTATAATTCTGCCATCATCACTTGCTAGCTATAAGCTAACAAGCATTTCAGATGTAAGCTAACCTTGAGCGAACCAGCAAATCTCTAATCTTCAGAGCTTTACAGAACCCTTTATGTCCATGCATATAACCGCTTTACAGTCCTCACGATTGCGCGTGTTTTCCTTTGGTCTTTCGTAAAAATGCATCTAATAAGCATTTGCAGGTCACGGTTTGCGTACTTCCAGCTGCTTCTCCCTCTGCACTGTCCACCTATGTTGACACGCGTAATGTTACGTGTGACGCAAGCAACCAATTGCTTGCTGGGAAATGAAGTATCCGAATGTTACACCGGAACCCTTGTCACGATATGAATGTATGTTATGATATGACGTTGTGCTATGTGACGTAGTGTACCCATGTTTTGTTTTGTTAACTATTCTTGTATCCGAGGCCGTGGTTCTCAACCGGATAAAGGTGGCTTGCCCTCTCCGGGTCTGTAGAGACCCTGTCCCAAGTGGAGGAGTTCAAGTATCTCGAGATTGACAGCTGGATCGGTGCAGTGTCGGCAGTGATGCAGTCGCTGTATCTGACCGTTGTGGTGAAGAGAGAGGTGAGCCGAAAGGCAAAGCTCTTGATTTACTCAGTCTACGTTCATACCCTCACCTGTGGTCATGATTTTTGGGTAATGACTAAAAGGACAAAACCGCGGATACAAGTGGCTGAGATGAGTTTCCTCTATAGGGTGGTTGGGCGCTCCCTTAGAGATAGGGTGAGGAGCTCCGTCACACGGGAGGAGCTCAGAGTAGAGCTGCTGCTCCTCCATGTCGAGAGGAGCTAGCTGAGGTGGCTTAGGCATCTGTGTTCCGGGCGTGCCGCATCGGAAGGAGGCCCCGGGGAAGTTGTATGTATGTTGATGTTTGCAAAAAATAAAACATAAATAAATAATAATAATAATAATAATAATAATTACGCTATCTGAATAAAAAGTTATTTTATTCAATTTTACTTGTGCTAGGTGGAAAACACCCTAACAAAACTGGAAAAAAGACTTCAAACATCACAATCTAACATAAGTGATCTTGTTGATGAGCCAGTTAACAGAATGGTTTACAATGTTTAAAGTTAAAATTGTATTACAGCTATCACATTTTACTTCTATAAGCATACTGTTACACTATAAAATATTTAAATATGTACAATATATACACACACAACATACTAATATAACCATATACACTAATGGTTATGCTTGTGCTTAGAGAGCTGTAAACATAGCAGAATAAAAAAAAAAACTTAGCAGAAAAAACAAAACAATTAGAATTAGAACATCACATATAAAGGAACAGATGGGAAAACAAAACAAAAAAAATCACATGTGTGGGATTCACACACAAAAATACCTCCGGTGAATTTAGTTAATCAGTTCTGGTGTTAATGGTTGTTGCTTCTGACAGTGGTCAACATTGGAGAAATTTCATTTTTACTTGTCACCCTAATGTAGCATTTATCTCACCTGCAAATTAAGTTTCATGAATGGAAATTTAAAGGAAATTTAAAGAAAAATTTGATGTGTGTAAATCTTAATATGAACGAAAATTATATCCAGTTCCTGAATATCTTTTAACAGAGGAACAGTGTCAATAACACATATTTCATCATATCATATACGAATTATTGCCTTTCAACACCACATTGATTTATATGTAGATTTCTTGCTCCCTAGTGTGGATTTGGATAGATTTTTTTTTTTTTTTAATCTACACACATGCTAAATGTTTACACTTTATACACCAAAAATAGTTTGATTTTCCACTGTGCATCTTGTGTCTGCCTTGAACAAATGACCTGTGTGCTGATGTTTCCTTTGTAAAGGATCTGCTGCCATTTGTTTGCCATTAGTTACGTAGCAAACTGTTGATAAAATGCCAACTTTACTCTCTCAATGTGGTGACAAAGCTTGATGGCTGGTCCCAGCTTTAGATCCATGCACTCCTGAACAGTGGGTAGATTCAGCAAAAGCAAGGCTTGCCCATCAATTTCCTGCAAACACATGTACATTATTGTAAACTTCTGTTAACAAATTAACAAACTTGTGTGCAATTCAAGTAATAGAAAAAGCTCATTTGTACACATTTTTTCATTTAATTCTTCTGAGGAAGCAAAACATGTCAACATAAAAACAAACCGTTTGGTCACACACAAAGTTGTAGAACTTTATGACACATTGCTAAATTTATGGTTTAATATTAGAACAGAAAAAAGACTAGATTCATACCTGGTCCAAGAAAATCCTAGCCAGGGGTGCACAGTCTGTAGTCCTGATAAAGCGCACTACATCAGTAACACTCCACTCCAGGGGGCTGGTGTCCAAACACAACTTCTGAGGGGGCTCACTCTTGGAGGTCTATAAGAGTGACATTATCTTATACATTTCTTTACATTTTAGTGACATTAACATAGTGCTGACAAGAAGCCAAGTCATTGGTTACATAAAGATAATAACAATAACAATTGATAAAACTAAAATAAAAACAGAATTACTTTTGGTGAAGGAGGGTGGTTCTCATCATCAGAGAAAGACGGTGAGCGGGGTTTCCGGCGGCGGCGCGTGAGTCGTGGTGTTGCCGGTGGAGACGGGGATGGAGTTGTTGGTTGAGATTTACCAACTGATTGCTCAGAGTCATCTTGCATGTCATCTTGAAGCTCTGATCCAGAGTCATCACTCAAAGAATCATCTTCATCAAGATCCTCTTCCTCTCCACTTCCCTGTTGCCAAAGTGAACATTAGGTAATCATAGTATTTAGTCATATTCATTTTTTTCCCATCAGGTGCTGAAAACCAGAAATGATCGTTCATCCAGTACCTGTGGAGACCCAGCTGGGGTGTTATCAACAGACGCCGAAGAGCGTCTCTTCTTATGAACAAAGAGCTGCTTCCTCCTCTTTCTCCTCCTTCCTCTGCGCTTAACTCCACCCTCCAAGTTGGAATGACCCCCAGGAGGACGACCAACCCGCTTACTCTTCTTTTTTCCATAGTAATATGCTATGGTATTATGATAAAATAACAAATGTCAAATTAAGACATGCATACACAACCACCTGAGAGGTTTTGATTTATCTCTGACCATTATACTGTATTGGGTGTGATATTTATAACAGACATTTTTCTTTATTATTTGGGCTCGGCACCTGGTGCATTACAAATAAATAAAACATTCATTCATATATACAGAATCATTGGAGGGAATAACCCTCAAACCTCAAATGCAGGACAATACAGGATTACTAATGAATCACTCAATATGCAACTCTGAGTATTATATAAACTGAGTTCTGTTGGATGACACCTACTGTATTTGGTCTTTGTCAGAACTGAGCAGTTCTCTGAGCAGCGCTCTAGAACCATGCGAGGCCCAAACAAGTTTGGACAGCACTCCAGCTTGATACATGTTTTTCTGCAGAAATCAGCCACTCTGTCTGCAGTGCGGACGATTTCCACTGTGGCCCGATAACTCTTGCCCTTGTACCTGATGATTAAATGGAAACACTGAGGCACTTTTAAATGCTGCATGTGTTGAACAAAGCAGCCTTTTCTAAGCAGAACAAAATAATTAACTGGTGTTTTCCTCACTTGGCTTTAAGTGTCTCTCCATGGCCTTGCCAGCGGCTCTCCTGGTCCAGCTGCAACTCTCGCAGAACACGGCTTGGCTTGTATGCAGAATTTATGAGCAGAGTTAATACCTGAATAGAAAAAGGAGCAGAAGATAGAGCTATTATCTTATGACTTTAAATACTGATTCTCAGCCTAATCTAATGACAGCTCTTTACAAACAGCACACCCACTGAGTTCTTTCCCCAATGTTTCTCTTGCTCAAAGTCAATGATGCAATGATCTTTATTTTACATATGGTGATAATGTGACATTCTGGACAAAAATCATAATAATTTTGGTGCAGAATCTAACACAGCCCTCCTCCTCTGGACTGATCCACACTCAGCACTAGGGCCCTGGGAGTATCACCTCTGGTGTGCATGTGTGTAAAGAGTCATATATATGGTTAAGATTGATGTATAGTTAATTCTTTTTTTTTTAACATATCACTAAGAATTATAGGGCAAAACAGCAACCTTACTTTAAGCACAAGAATAAATGAGGTAGACATTACAGGGCCTCACTCTCACCTCTTTCAAAACAAGGATACAGTTTCCAGGACCAATGAACTGAGGCAGCTCAGCAATGCGCCCTTTATTAAGGTATGGCCCAGAGAAGCAGCGATGGTTGAAGTAGATTTTTGGACAACAATATTTTCCATTACCCTGCCCTGTGCATCAAAAAACACAAACATGCAAGTACACAATTACATTATCATCTACTGGCTCATATTTAAGTACGTTAACTTAGGATCAGTAGTCTTTGGACAATAGACCAACTCATCGCAGGACTGTCCCTGACAGAGACACATACTCACCTGTTTCTGATTGGTTCGCTATTTGTGGTTTCACATCCTCAGGTGTAGAGGATTTTGGTTGTACTCTTCTGCAAAGTATTCATAACTTAGTCATAATACATTGTAGGGTTTATTCACCTAAGTTCTTTCTATACTTACTGCTTCTCCGGCTGGACCACGGCAATCTTCCTCTCTTTCTCAACTGGAAAAGGAAGACATTCTTATTATGTCAAATTCACAGATTATAGGCCACAATGGAAGTGTCTAGTTCATAACATAAAGCCCAAATATTACAAAAATAAAATTAAAAATAATAACATAAAAAATAAAGCATACCTGCATATTACTACATCAATACTGTCCGATGATTTGAGATCAAAGTGAAATGGAAAGCAAGTTACCTGGGGGCTTAATAGGATGGACGAGCGGGTATCCGTTTGTCTCACACCAGCTGACTGGAAAGATGTCAAGAGAGTCAACGTGAACTATCAACTCAGGCATTGGTGTTTTAAGTCCTGAAAACAAATAAAAAACAAAGACACTTACTTGCCTTTGAAATACGTGATGACATACAATAAAAATATTGTAAAAGTAATATCAAATCTCACTAAGCTTTTACATTCATACATTGATTCACATAAACCAAAAGCCTTCACCTTCCAGGCTGAGCCAGATGTACTGGCCTTTCACACTCGTGACTGTAGCCACATGAACATTCTCTGGTGACAGTGGATTGACTGCCTCTAGTTTCATTCCCTCTTTAAAGCTGTGTTCAGACTGTTCCTAGAAGATAAAAGATATATACAGTATGTCTATTTATTAAAAAAGAAATGGCCAAGCAGTTGAGAGACAACATCAACATGAGGTTTTTGTTTTCTATCAAATATTTTTTCGCTAAGTGTTCAGCTCCCTGAATGTCAACATTTTAGACACAATAATAAGGAAAGTTGTACAGCAATCTGCAGAGCTAAGCACACCACAATGTGAATATGAATCATAACTTACAGTTGGAAAACACTGTTGAGGTGCAGCCTCTGTCCCATACTGTTTCAGGTAGTCTGCCCAATCAAAGTCTGGGCCCTGGTACCCTAAACATGAAAAAATACATAAAGCAAAATGGGGAAACATGAGCATACAAAATGAAATGGGAGTTCAGATCACAGAATCAGACTAAACAAACCTGGTGGTGGGCAGAGTGTCAGTCCATTTTTGAGGCTCCATTGAGCTGGAAAGATCCCTGGACTGTCTCTGTGGCACAGGAAGGAACGTCCTGGATTCTCAGAGTCCTCCATACCACAAAGATCGTCCATTGTCACCAAGAAGTACAGCTCATTACAGATCTATAATACAAAGTGAAAAGCAGGTTCAGATAAGCATCATTTAATCATTATAAGTGACAATAAGAGGCTAAAATGTTTTTATTTACAATTTGTGACAGTGCTTAAACTATATGTACATTCTGTAATTAGTCATCTTAATAAAAGTTTATTGATAACTGAACACTGCAGCATCTTTTATCAATAATAATAAGGAACCAGGGACAAAAGATGTTTACAACTTGCTTACAAGGTCAATGTATCTTAAGATGAATCACTTCAGTGTTTAGCTATGTAAACTGTTTGAAATAAACCACTCGTCAATGATGTAATGAATAAAACTGGAAATTAGTCAGTAGCATTTAGATGTGCATGTAAGTGTAGATTCAATCACATTAAACAGAGGAAAGTCAGCTTGAGTGATGTAGATAGAGTCTGTTACCTTGGTTACAGAAGCAGGTCGGATTGAGATGGGAGCAGCAGGGTCAACAGCCTCCAGTTTCATCCCTTCTTTAAAAGTGTGTGGCAGTATGACAGGCTGATCCTAAAACAACCAAAAAACACATACACGTTGGAACATATCCTCACTCTTTGAGCTCTCACATTACACATCAGGAAAAATAATTCTACCTTTGTCAACTCTGCTGTGAGAGCATCATCTTCAGGCAGTTCACGGATTCTCTGTTTCACCTCCTCCCACTCTTCCTCTGTCCGCAACGCCAGTAGCTCTGAATAAATACACAAACAATAATATAATACATAAAATATAGATTAATACCAAACAAATGTAAAATACCAAACAGAAGTATTAATGTTGGCAGACAACATTTGACCTATCCCTAGGACCTCGACAATTAAGAATGATAGCACTGAAATCTATATACTAAATAAATAGCATGATGTGTTTTTTTTCTGTTCAATAATGGACCGTACTTGAAATTTAAGGATCTTCTTGAAAAATCCAATCCAAAATAAATGAACAGATGAATATATTTTAAATTGCATGTGAATGACTAACCAGAGGGTGGCTTGAGGGTATAGCTGTTCTCCTTTGCCCAGCCAGGGGCGTGGATGCGTGGATGAAGGTAGAACAGCCACAAGGTCGCTGGTGTATCTGGCAAACCCTCAGTGCCCACCAAACGCAGTTTGAGTCTTCCACCGACATTCTCCTCCACCTCTGCTGCCCAGGCCTGGCCCAGCTCTACACTATCCTGGAGCTCCACATAACAGCCTGTATTCAGCAGCTCCATTGGGTCTTTCCCGCGTAGGGGCTAAGCACAGAGGAAACCACAGCAATTAAAAGTGAACACATGGATAAAACTGCAGAATACAGGAGTCTGATGGTAAGGAATTTGAATTTGACACAGATGAGCAGTATGTGTAAAAAAAAAAAAAGGCTTAATCACTGAAGAAATTAACAGATCATTTATGTATGGTTCCATTTTATCTAAACATTAGAGAAAGGCATGCTTTCAGCTATGCAATCACATATTTAACTGCACACTGCTGAACCAATAAATCAAAATGAATTTCTTTCAGGTTAGACTAGATTTTCTCCTACATTTGAAAAGAAACTGTTTAGAAAGACTAGCACTACTTTAGCACTATTGACACAGGACTGAAGGACAACTGACTACACATCTTAAACACAGAGTGAAAAATGTGAAAGCCATACCAATTCGAGAAGGTTGGCAGGTGCACCACACTCTTCTGCCAGAGCCTTTTCCAGCAAAAGCTCCCAGTCTTGGTGCTTCTCACAGACAGCTGCAATTGGAGAAAAATCCTGATTTTAGTCCTGGTTTAGACCTAGTTTAGACCTAGAATTAGAACTGGTTTCGACCTGATTTTAGTCCTGGTTTAGTTCTGGTTTAGTTCTGGTTTAGAGGTGCGGGCCGCGCTGCACACGGGACGAGACGCAGCCCACGCAGCGTATACAAGACAAAAAAAGTGATGCTCCAAACTATAGTAGGAGTAGGTTGTCAAAATGGCGACATAATTTCACAGCTAATACATGCACGCACAATTACTGATATCAATACTGCTGCAGATGTGTACAGATGTGGACCGTTATTTTTTTCTTCACGTGTGTCTCACCTCCTCAGTGGCTCTTTCACGCCCCCAGGGGAGGCGCGTCTCACCTATTGAAAACCGCTGATCTATCTTAAATTATTGCATTCAATGATGTAAGAAATAGAGGTAATAAGAATTACATTTGACATTGTCTTCTTTGGAAAGCTTTATTACTACACACTTTTGTTATAATAAAGAAAGACCAAGTCTGGGACTAGGTCTTATGTTTCAGAGTTGATTTGAGAGACATTTACTTTAAATACAAGGTTGTAATCAGATTGTGCTGACTGTGTTTATGCCAGGTTCCAGCCCCTCCTGCATTCAAACAGAAAGTAGAAGCAAGTGACCCACAGGCTGCCAGATGTCTTGATCCAAAACTCACCCTCAGGTGCCCTCATGGTCTTGCCGTGCTGTCGGCTCCATCCCAGTGGGTGCAGGTCAGCAGTCATGATGTCGCACCAGAAATCAGCCCGCCTGTCGTCTTGGTAACCCTCATATCGGAGCAGGAGTAGTTGCCCACAGGTAGTGATGATGTTAGCAACCCAGTAAGGCTGGTCAGGCTCACTGCGCAGACATACCTCTAGCTTCATACCAGGGGTAAGTCCTGTCTGCATGTCCTGGTCCACCTAAGACACATATAATATAATAAGGAAACTGTCTAAAACATAATTTTATTTGAGAACATTTTGGTCATGCTTTCATGTGCAATCTAATGCTTATGGTTTTTGGTATTGCCTCTTCTTACCCACAACCAAAAACACTGTTGAAAATAATGGTAGTAGGGTACAGAAATAATTACTTTGGGGGCAAGTAACATCAGTTTGAAACCAGTAGCAGAGGTTTCTGTGCTGTACAACTGATAACTATAAATATGGGGAACCTTTTGCTTCCTGTTTGGCTAATAATTAGACTAAAGTTACTGCATAGCCTGTATTTATACAATACAAGCAGTGAGTGAAAAGGCTTGGAAAGCACTTACATGTTTAAAAGCATGATGTGGTACGGACAAAGCCCCCGTCTCCTCAAGGTAATCGTCCCAGTTAAAATCTGGCACATCTTGAGCAGAGTCTCCCCCTAAACACACAAACAATAATCAAAAACACATTTATAAAAAAAATATTTTCACCATTACCAGCTGTCTGTCTGCTCTTACCCGATTCCACTGAATCCTGACTCATGCTGGTGCCCCCCCAAAGGCCGAACAACTTCAAGGACTGCAGGGAAACAAAGGCAGTCAGTTAAATGGAAATGGCTGAGTCTTCGAGAAAAGCGGCTGCTTGTTACAGTTTTACATAATTATTAACCAATATATTACGAGTAAATAAAGAAGATCTCCAGCCATTAAAAAACGAAGGTGGTACAGGTATCCTCGTAGATAGAAGGTTAGTAGGGCTGGGAAAGTGTTTGGGGTAAGAAATTGGATAAATGGCTCAAAAGGTTTATATAAATTTGTTAAAGTATGTTTGTTATTCATAAAGAAATCACTCACATCACGATTGATTAATAGGCAGAATTTCTGTGTAATTTTTGTTTGCCCAGCTTGTGATGAGAACAGGATGGAGTGCATCACATGTTTTGTTTACATTACTGGATATTTTGATTACATTTTGAGACACCGTTTTAATTTAGGATATTATATTTATCTATATTATATCTGAACAAGTTGATACTGAAGAAAAACAAACATCTATAACAGAACACTTGTATAAGAGTACATGGTAATTAAGAAATATTTTATTTATTGTTACTTTCGCTTCGGTGTTGTTAATTAGCGTGGTATAGAAGTTGGTATTGAGTATCAAGCTATCATGACAACTCTATTGAATCTGATGATGAAACTGTTTAATGGTCAAAGATTCAGAGTGTGAAAGAGCAAAGGGGATGGCAGGGTGTCATGGTGGAGGAGAACTTTAAGTCCATTCAGAATGCCTGTCAAGCTTATCATTGTCACATGTGATGTCTCTATTAAATTCAGGGGCACAGTCAGAGTGCACCCCCTCCAGACCACCCCCTCCAGACCGCCACGTTGCCACGGTGACCTCTGTCACACCCGGGATGAAAGCTGCCTTTGACCCACCACCCCATCCCAGACTCCTCTTGTCACTCTAGCTCCACCCATCAGTGCTTCAACACAGTCCAAGAGGCCTTGCTGTGACCCTGGGGCACACCACAGACTTTGGAGTGCAAAAGAGAGCAACTGACGTGATAAATAAAGGGGATATTTTTAAAGCAAGGTTTTACTGATGCACCACACCACTACACACACCTCATTATGAATAAGAAGGTATAGAAAGTCACAGTGTTAAAACTTTCTAAAAGTCTAAATTAAAAGTAAAAATTTAAGTAAAAAATGATCTGCAAAGTCAGACGGACACATAACAATCCAGTTATTGTTTTCCTTCTTTTTTCTTTGTACTAAAAGTGTTTCGTTCAAAAAAATCAAGCAACCCATTAACTCATATAAGCAAATAGCGTAATAATTGCCCTTTTATGTGCAATAATGCATAGTTTTAACTGCCACATCACCCTGTTGAATTTTGAGAACTAGTGCAAGAGTGGTTTGAGCACCCCAAACAGGAAAACATGCAACTTCCCCAGAGAGTGTAGTTGTCTATGGACAACTCAGACATGACGAGGGAACATTAAAGTGAAAGTCTTCCATTCTGTGGTTTTGTCAGCACTTAACATACAAATAGCCTATCAGCCTGTAAGCAGTGATGGGAAGAATACGTTGAAAATGTATTTAGTTACAGAATATTAAATTGTATTTTGTGATGTAGTCTATTACATGGTCCAATCACAGTACTGTGTTCTGAATATTTTACATCAAGTTGTATTTAAACTATTGTGTAAAGATGCAAACAATGAGCCTTTGTTATGAGTTTATTTATGACTATTTGGAGAAGGGAAAGTCACATATGCACTCATCACAAGAGCTGTGTCTCTTTTTTCTCAATAATATTTTGAAGCCTAACTTGTGTGATCAAGTACTGCCATGTATTCCTTTGCTTTTAGAAATGAAAAAGTAATGGTACCAGAATACAGGCAGTCAAAATTCGTATTCAGTTACTTCCCAACACTGCTTATAAGACAGAATTTCAAAGTGTTATACGCTTACTGGTTTGAGTTATTGATGAAGCGTACCAAGAGAATGCCAATAGGCTACAGCTACACATTTAATATCAACAAACCTAAGCCACATGGGCATAAACACCCAGGATAACACATAAACCCACTGCAGATTATAGAAGAGGAGTTGTGTACAAAAACCAACCAGGCCCGCCTATAAATTTTAATCTAGCAGCCTACGTATACAGCACAACACAAATTAGGCGAGTTCCAGGACAGAATGGGGCACGTGTGTTGCACGATGCAAAAATGTAAACACTCAACTGACACCAAGATGCCAAGTGTCATGTTATATGCAATGAAGGCGTTGATTTTGCTTTAGGTATACTAATGGATTAATAAGATAAATAATAACAGCCTAAAAACTTCCTCACACCTTACACAAAACCTCACACAAACGCCAAGTACAATTATTTAGACAAGTCAGTGACACATTATATACACAACACAGCAAGCATAGACTGCGATGCACTGCTATTATCAGACAACAGATTTCGCGACAGTCAATAACGCAATGGCTTCCCCGCGCCTCTAACTTTCACATTGAGGCTTGGGCGTGCAAATTCAATGAAACACGACAATCCGGATGTTGTTTTCACAGCCAATACTGCGATACTGCTGAATAAGTGTGGTAGTGGATCCTCAGGACACATGGTAAATTCACCTCTGTCCTAGTCAAGTTACTGAACGTCACGACTTGGCCAGGAGCAGCTACGAGCACTAAGCAGCAGCAGCAGCAGAACGGGCGCTACACTCGACACCGACTCATCTTCTTGAGAGACGGGAAAAAAGGCGAGCGCAGAACCACAGAACAAAACATCACTTGCAAATAGTATACCACAGCACAAGGTAAGTGAATATTTAGTCGCCAATTATGCTACTTACCCTTAAGTAGTTTTTCTAAGTCGATTTTTAGATGCCCGTACTCTCCGCCTGCTCGCACACCACAGCAATACGAGGTTGGCGAATACACCCAGCGTCAGCCCCGGTTTAACCCTTCAAAATAAAAGACTTGCGGCCTTGGCAACATCTCTCCAAAGTGAATCGACGCCGAACCAAACTAAATTATGGCTTTTATTTTATTCTTTGTAGATGATACGAAGCGCCATAATGTGCTAATTAAAATGCTCTGATCATTATCATAAAAACTAGACCAAACCTTTAGGCCTACACAATAATATGAAAAAGCGTTACTGAAATCACTTTTTCTTATTGCTGTTATCCACCTCATTGAGTTAAGGGGTCAGATTCAGATACGCCATTGCTGGATGTGTAAAGATAAATCCTGCCATTTCCGTTGTAGCTTTTGTTAAGTGTCACCAACTTGACGCGCTTTACGACCTCGTTCCAATATGGCACAAGTGGCAACTGCGCATGTTCTGCCGCCTATGCCTTTGAGCCGGGCTGCATCGCCTGACTTCCATGTTCGCACACGATAAAAAAGAAAAAAAAAAAATTAATAAAATAAAAAAAACAAAAAAAACATCCAGTCTCTAAAAACTGTGTCTCTTAGGGAAAGAAAATTGACAGTGTCTGGTTCCAGCAAAGTTTCAAAGTGCGATTTCATTCCCGACAAAAGCTGGAACATGAAGTCTGTACTGTGGGGTTTTGCATTTCATTTGTGTTTGTCCATCTCCTTCATAGTGATCATCAAAACAATACTGAGTGTGATAAATGATAGACTCGTGTACCGCGCATATTCATTTTGCGCACAGAATAAAGACAGAAATGAAGGGTGTGTAACATTGCAAACAGAACCACTCAGTGACTTTGTACAACGCAAGTAAACGTCATGTGTTTGTGTAAAGTTAAACGGTGTCAACAAGCTATCCAAATGTCAAATCCTCAAAAATAAGGCGTTTTGGCCATATTATCAAAAATAAGGCATTTTGAGCAGTATTCGGCGAGTAGTTTGGCTCCCAGTGGGACAGAGGACGCAGCAGGTCAACCACTAATTCTGCAGGTGTCATTTAAACCTGTTCACTAGATGGCAGTAGATCATGGATTTTTATTTAATTTTTTTTTCCAGCTCATCCAATCATGTTTTAGTTATAAAATTAAGTAAATAAATGCATAACTTAAATGTTAACTTAAACAACCAACAAACACGCAGTAAACAACAACTTTTACACCTTCCATTTATTCATAATATGTAAAAGGTATTAAAAAACAGGAGTGTACAGCATGTTAAAATGACTAGATTCAAGAACATTATTTAAATGAGTGAGTGTTACTTAAGATAATTGTTCCTCACATCACACATAATCAGTGGACAACAAAGATATATACACAATAAAATTCCCAATAATTGGCAATAGACAATTAGCCTTCTCTTGTGTTATTTTACACAATCTCTACAAAATAAATAGGAGTAGGCCTAAGGTCTAAAAAAAAAAAAAGATAGAATAAAGTAAAAATCATGGAAGGTCACAGTTTTCCTAAACCTATCTTGTACTAGTAAACACATAATAAAGAACTACCCTTCTCTTGTCACATAATAGAATTTAATACAGATTCACCTTCTAGTCTCATGACATAATTATTAAATAACTATTTTGGTGGACTGTATAATAAAGCCACATATAAAATAGAAAATATTCATATCTAGCATTTAATATAGCAACACTGGGATTTGTATAGCTTCCCTTACCTTTTACACATATAGCCTGCATAAGTATAATTACTTCACATGGATATCCAGTATTGGTTTGTTTTGTCCCTTAAGATCAGAAATATAAATAAAAAATAAAACTGCTCCCACAGGAGGCCATTTTGAAAGAGTTTTATCACTCATTCACTTCAAAATTGGGATTCCTTGCTCAGGGAAATTTACATGGCATGGTTCATATGTTTTCTATTTTGATTACAGTGACAAACTGTGACAATACATGTACACTAAAAAGGTACCGTGTTTCTGGTGAAGGGTCCATCATCTGCTTGTCTCCATGGTGATGTTATTGCTTTGCCTGAGACCTTCCACAGTATGGCATTCAACAAATACATCTTATATATCTTTAATTACAGGTGTTTTACTTCTCAGAATTACTGCAAACACATGCATTATTACTGTGAGCAGGTCCACGTCTCCACAGATCTGACCTGTAACTTGGCCTGGTGATGTGGCCTGCTCGTCACCATGGAGACGGTTACATTACAGTACTGTAGATCATCTCAGGAAAAAACAACCACATGGAGTTGAAGTGGTGGACCCTCTAGCAGAAAAGTTACACAGTGCACCTTTAAGCACTGTCAGTTCAAGTACCTGGCAACTCATCCAACACCTGTTATTTAGATTGTGATCAACTTTACACATATATTACACTGATGTATGTATTCAGCCAGGACAACCTGATATCCTGTGAGAGCCTGCATCCTGGCACAGCACCAAAATGTGATCCAGTTTCTGTGTGTTACTTGGTTATCATTTGCTCTAGTTTGGGGTTGACAAAGGAGAATCCGGCAAAGGCAGCCTGGTCCATGGACTCAATGAGGTTCTTGTCTGCATGGGAGAGGCGCGGCTTCTCGCTCAGGAACTCTCGGTCAAAGTTGCTGCAGTCACTGGGGGACTTCTGTTGACCGAGAAAGTCATAAATCACAGTTAGACTTTATATGTTATGTATACTGTACACTATGAATGTGCATACATTATTGATCCCCAAGGAAATTCAAAGTTTGCTACATGGAAACAAACATAGCAACGTAGCAATAGTATCTAGACCACAGGAACGTACCACTTTGGGCTTGAACGGTGGGTCTACTTGTCGTTTCTCTAGTGCTGTCCAGTTGATAGTTTTGAAGAACGGATGTGTACGAATGTCTCCCACCACACCTAACCGCCGGGTGGGATCTCGCTCAAACAGCTGGTAAAGAGACATGTTCAAATTAGCGTCTTGATGCTAACATTTTCAACTCAATACTCAATACCGATTTCATCACTGATGTCACAAAGATAGAATATGTTCCTTTTTAGTAACAGAATGTACTTTTCAAACACAAAATAACAGTCCTTTCTTCATGAGATCCATGAGATCTTATAGTACTGTAGTTCTGAGGAAGCTCAAAATCACACTAAAACTGTTCAGGAAAGCTCAAATTTTGTCCTGTTAATGTGATTTTTTGCAGTATCAATATTGCTCAAATGAGTATCTAGTTTCAATAATAATTTTAGTATTCAATATGTTTGACAATCCTTGTTCAAATATTAGAATATATCAAAAAGTCACTGTATTTGTTGATCTGCATGTATTGTATTTACATGTTGGCTAATGTGAAATGAGACCAATATTACATGAACATTGTAAATTGGTAAATTGTATTTGGTAGCACTTGTGTTGATAAGCAAATGCATGGCATCATGTGTGTATATATAAAATATTAATAAATTACCAGTTCAAGAAGGCTTTTGGACTCCTTTGTGATCCAGCGCGGATAGTGTGGAGTGTCAGTCCGAATGGACTCAAACAGTTCATCCTCATCATCACCTTGGAAAGGTGACTGACCAATCAACATCTCATACACCAGGACACCAAATGACCACCAGTCCACAGAGAAAGTATACTTTTGTCCCAGCAGGATCTGATAATAAACAGCAATATTAGCAATAAGGAATTACAATAAGATGTCATATTTATTTTAAGCATACCTCTGGTGCAATGTAGTCTGGTGTTCCACAAAATGTTGTTGCTCTGGTCTCTCCAAATACATTTTCTCGACACATACCAAAGTCTGCAATTTTTATGTGTCCATCTTTGTCCAGCATGACATTGTCCAGCTTCAGATCCCTGTTGGGTATATAATTGACTCGCATCAATTCTATTTTAAGTGCTGCTGTTTGGATAGGCAGGAGAAATTTTATTACCTGTAGATAATTCCTTTGGAGTGGAGGAACTGCAGTCCCACTATGATCTCAGCAGAATAAAATCTGAAGATAAACATTTATTAAGTACAAGTTAATCATTGCAATCAATGTGATTTTGACAGAAAAATATAATAGAACTTACGTGGCTCTGTTCAGATCAAAGCGGCCTTTATCTTGGATGTGGAACATGAGATCTCCTCCATTTAGGTACTCCATTACAAAGAACAGATGTTCCTACAACACATTACTGTCAGCACTCTATCGCAAATATCTTTATAACGTTATAATCATATGCTTTCCAAAGGCTTGAATAGACATAATGAGGTTTATTGGCATCTGTCCAAACAAAACTCAACAACATGGAAAATTAATGATCACCACCATTATCAAGGTTTTTAAACAAACTGTGGAAATACAATGTCTCTTTTTTAATTCATGGAATAACTTTGTTTGACTCTGCATTTTTAGTAAAGCTCCAGCTCCATTTAAACAAAACAAGAAAGACAAGCAATGTAATGATTAATGAACCAGAGTTCTTCCAAATAGTACAAATTTAGGGATGCACTGATACTGGTATCTATAGCGATCAAACTGAAATCTGTATCGGAAGTGAAAAAGCTGGATTCCCAAAAGAAGTATAGCTTTTTACAAGTTCCAATGCACAGGTGACACACTAGGTGGCACTCATAGCTCGTTAGCTTTGAAATATCACTGAAATTGTAGAGGGGGATTTATAGATACAAATTAATTATTTATATTTAATCACTGAAGTACTTAAGGCTTACTTTGGACTGGAAGGTGGAGTACAGGTGAGTGAGGAAAGGGTTCTCCCAGGCCAAGGCTAGCACTCTCTTCTCTACCATTGTACACTCCACATCATCATCCATCAGCACTACGTCTTTCTTTAGTACCTTCACTGCAAAGTACTGCCCTTTGCCCTTCAGCTCAGCCAGCAGCACCTGAAGCATCAAATCTGCAGTTATAATCATTACATTCAAACCATACTTTACAAGATAATTGATACATTGATATAGTATTCATCATTCAGTACATGACAGATGGACCAAGACTTTGGGAGACTATATTTATCATGGGTAATTTTTCCTTTAGGTTTAGGTTTAAGGTTTAATTATGAACTTGTGTTGCGTTTCATGCTGTCTAAGAATATTGTACATTAAAAAATATTTTGTGGAGGATAATTCTGATGTATGGTTTGGTTTCAGTATTATTGTTTATTGTCTGTAGATAAGTATGGACCTACCTTTCCAAAGCTGCCTTTTCCAAGCACTTTGTGAAACACCAGCTTGTCCAGAGTGAGGTGTACCCGAGGGGCTGGTGATGGAGTGAGACTTGGTACCGGGACCTTGCCATTGGCTGTACAAAGAAATGTGCAAAAATTAAATATATAATTGTACATAACTCTTCACACAGGTTATTCATGAATCTTATATGGACTATTCAAATATGCCTGTCACAATAACACATTTTAAAGTATGATACATTGCTGAACAAAATATTGACAATAAAATCAATTTAAGCTAAAGCAGAACTATCCCCCCCAAAATATATATAACATGACACTGCTCCACTTGAATGTAGTTTAACTGTAATCCTCACTAGCACACGTGATAAATATTGAGCTCCAAAATACATGGGACAATATCATATTTGGAACAATAAGTCAACACAGTAATTATTGTGACAGGCCTGTTATTCAACATTGCGACTGCCACTTACCACTAGGTTCTGGAGTCACATCTTGGATACCTTGGTAAATTCCAGTGTCAGGCCCATTCGGATCTGACTTCTTAACGGACGTATCTTTTTTCTGTCAAACAAGTGCCAACGTTTAGCTCAAGCAGCCCTTTAGTTTTAATTCAAACAATAAAATGTTTAAAAGTGCCAACCGAATTGATGTGCGAGAGAGCCTCCGCTAGTAATTTCTGATTGACACCGCAGAGATTTCCCACTTTCTTTGTACAGTAACTATGAACATTCATGGCACATTCTGCAAACACACAAAGGAAAAAGAAATGAATAGGTCAGAATTTACAAGGTTAAAGCTTGCAACAACTTCCCTGAGATGTATAGACGTATAGATTATAACAGTATTTCAAAGCACAATCACCTTCGCATTTAAGGCCTTGTCTGTACAGCCCCCAGAGCAGGCTGCCGCAGTGATCACAGAAGGTGGGGCTTCTGTAGTTGTAGTACCTGAAGCGATGTGGCATATCGATCTTAAAACGTTCTTTCTGGAACTGCACACAAAATATTCAAGTTATTGTCTAGTGAAATAATATATATCATAATAGTAATACATATAACATATGACAATTAATTGTAATAAGAATTTAATCAGAACTGTGCATTTCATAGGTTTAGCCTCACCATTGTGTCCCGACTGTTGGCTGCTGTTCCAGTGCACCTCGCAATCACCAATCCGGTGCATTTTTTGTGAATTGCTGCATTGCATTCTGGATTGAAAATATAACAAAGAATATGTCAATTTTGCATTAAAATATGACGTGTTGATAAATATATGTAAGAAGGGACTTACGTCTGCATTTGTAACCTTGTTTGTTGAGCCCCCTACATGAACAAGAGGGAAAAACATTAACATGCAGTTAAAATGATGATCATATTGGCCACTTCACACTTTTTATTATCACATATAACATCTAAAAACAAAATATCAGATTATACACCCACATAACTGGCCAGGGCCTAACCTCTCTCATCAAACGTTTGTTCCCATTATGTTGTCAGCATCTCTTTATACACCATACCTGCTGTCAATAATGTTATTTGTTCATTGCTTGTGTAACCCTGTTTGTATGTTTGTACTGTCCTGTGTTTGGCACTTACTCAGTGTAACTTCACTTGGTATTGAGTAATAAAAGGGGTAAAATTAAATAAATAAAATAAGTACAGAATATCAAACAATATTTTTGTTGGTCAATATATTTTTGATACAATTTTGTAAGAGCAAAGAAATGCTGTTATTGGATATATTCCACACTTCTATTATACATTTCTTGAAAAAGCTATAAGCTATTATACAGAAACAGAAAACATAACTGACTATGACTCATCAGTACAAGCAGCCATGTTTAAGAAAAGTGAAATCATGTGACCCCAAAGCATCAGACATGACGTAAACTTGCATAATATTTGTGTAGCGATCTCACCAGAGGAACTCCCTGCACACAGAGCAGAACGTGGGCTGATTGAAGAAAGTGGCGGTGAACTCATGGCTCTTGATGTCGTGGACTTTGGGCTGTTTAAAGGCTCCTCTCCTTCTGTTGAGGGTCGTGGCTCCATCCTCAGGACTGACTTTCATCGAAGGCCTGTTAGGGACTGAGGAAACATAAAATAATTTTTATAAATCATCCTTTTCAGAATCTTTCAGCAAGAGGAACTTGATGAATGCCAATTATAAGTAAGAGCCTTGCCAGTACAATGCGCCAGCAGCTAAGACAAACCATCTCATTCAATGTTTTTTTTTTTTTCCATTTATTTTTACTTTGTACATTTTTTATAAACAGGGAAGACATCAACTATAAGATGCAAGATATATAGGATTATTTAGCAAAGAAAAAGAAGTTAAACAACTATATATTTTTATATTTTATGAATTCATATGAAATGGTTTTCACTTCACAGGTGTGCCTTGTCAGGGTCAAGAAATGCCACATAATCGTTTAAAATTTAACGAAGTTGAGTTATTTTGAGTTTTTTTGGGGGTTTTTTGGTGCTACTTTCCATATGTGTTCATCCATAGCTTTAATGTCTTCACTGAGAATCTTCAGTGTACCGGTACTGTAAATAATCATGGAACTAAAGAAGAACAATAAATGAAAAGTGGTAGTGTATATATTATTTACATCATAGTGGTGTGTCAAACCAATGAGCAGTCAAAAAGTGTGTGGCCATTTTTTTTTAAATATAGTGGCACTGTTGTTGAAGGGAAAACCTCCACACTTGAGTAACTCTTTATAATGAGCGAGACCAAAGATCACTTGAAGACGAGGAGAAGGCGTGAGAGAGGTAAACAATAGGACGTTGTGCCAAGAGATTAGGAGGGAGTGGGCGGCTGACGAGGACAGAAGCCTTAAGCAGACATTTAACAGAAGGAAGTGGAAGGTGATAAAAAAAAAAAAGTTTTCCATTGTAATTGAGACTGACGTGCTTCATTAAGGCCTGATATAGAGAAAGTGAATGACAGCAGCAAGACAGTATTATATTTTATATTTGAGATGTTTGTGAAATCTCTCAGTTCCATATTTATTTAAAATGTGCAGTGGTTGAACATAATGCAATAAAAGTAGTAAAGTACTGTCCTTACATAAAAAATTTGATATCTATACTTTACTTAAGTTTTAAAGTGGATACTTTTAACTTTCACTTCACTACATCTGAGAGCAGACCACAATTTTTTTTAACTGGACTGATAAGTAAAAGTATTTATTTATTATTGTTTGACAACTTTTTTTTTTTAAACACATTTGTAGTTTGAGCAAACAAAAATATACAAAGAAAAACATCAAGAAAAAAAAAAAAAAATCCAATTGTATCTGTTGAATAAAATTCTACAGAAATATGTATCAAAATCAGTACATTTGAAGCTTTATAAGACCTGAAGTATATTTTTAAACTTGTACTTTAAAAGTACAACTGGGCCCTTTGGCAGTTCCGGGTGGCAGCGGCTCTCTGCTGCTGGTGTAGATGGCTACTCTGAAGGTGCTTTCTCAACTGGTTCGCCTGTATTCAGCCTCATATTTACTGTATGTAGTCTAATGTATTTTAGCATGTTAGTATGTGTGTATCTGTGTGTGCCAGAAAGTGTGCATGTGGGTGAGTCTGTGCATTTGACTGTCTGGGTTGCTTGCTTTTGTGGGGTCCAGCAGCTGTGGGGGAAATGTGGGATTGTTTTTAATCACTGTAAAGCACTTTGTGCAACATTTTCTGTATGAAAAGCACTTTATAAATAAAGTTTGATTGATGGTTTGATTGCCATTTTTTTATGTGATACTTTTACTTCTCCTAGAGTATTTCTTTGCTCTGGTATCTGTACTTTTACATAAGTAACAAAATTGAGTACTTCCTCCACCACTGAAAATATGTACAGTTTCTTTACTGATATCCAACAAAATTTGCAACTGAATCAGTAAGTTAAAACGGTTAAACATATTTAAAATGGTGAAGGTCAAAAATAAGTTAGGGCTGGTCTAATACAAAAACTAAAATGCCAGCACAAGGAGCTCCATAAAACTTTCTCAGTCAGTGTATCATGTTACTGCTACTTTTACATTCCCTGGTGGTCTAGTGGTTAGGATTCGGCGCTCTCACCGCCGCGGCCCGGGTTCGATTCCCGGTCAGGGAACAAATGTTTTGTGTAAGTGATATTAGACATTGAATGTTTTTTTTCATATAATAAATGTATTACAGTACATGCAAAGACAAGTGCTTATGTGACGGAGTTTACTGTAGTGTAATAGTAGTGATTTTTTTTTTTACCTGGATCCCCATCCTCCAGAAAGTACTGCACTGCGAACTGCACTCGTCCTGAAGGTTGCAAGTCGACCCAGAACTCTGCGCGTCCATTCGTTTTGGATTTCTTACAGCGCTCAGCCAGTACAGCCACACCCACTGTAACTTTGGCCAGAGCTTCCTCCTGGCTCTTCATCAGGACCACTTCAAGGACGCGGCCCTCATAAATGTGAGCATCAAATGTAGATTTCCAGTCGGGATACATTGTGGGCTTTCTCTGGACTAAAGTCTTCCCTCGCTCTGGAAAAATAAAAACAACAACGACAATTAGGCCTGTCATGATAAATAATATATTGACTTATCTTTCAATACATGAGAGGTGGAACAATATTTTTGGAGGGTCAATATTTAACATGGATCGTTTTTCTTTATATTAGTGGCAAAGTGTGTTTAATTTTCTGTACTATGCCAAGATTTGAGGTGATGAGGGTTGAACAAATTACTTCTATGACTCATTACAGACACTTCTTAACTGTTGCATCCTGTTGTAATATTGTACATTTAAAATCTGTTGTGAGGGATAATTCAGCTTTATGGTTTGGTTTCAATATTATTGTTTATAGTCTATATTTTGTTCAAAAATATATTGTATATATTAACAAAATGTCAATACAATAAGCTCCTGTATGACAGGTCTAGGAATCATGTTTGTGGATTCTGGTTAAGGCAGACACTGTATTCTTTGTGTATTTGCTTTTGCCCATACCTGTGTTGACAGACTCCTTCATCTTGATGGCACAAATGGGAGGGTCTTGGAGAGGGGGCAGAGCACCCATTTCGTAATTGATGAAGCTTATTCGCAGGAAGGGTGCCATGGCGACCCCTCACCCAAGCCTCCTGAAAGAGACAAAGATAGAAATTATTTAAGTAAAGCAAAAAGGAAGACGAGTCACACAAATTCTTATCAATGAGGAAGTATACCACTCAACACTGGAAACTACCCACAAATAGGAAATTGAGGAAGATGGTGACAGCCTTCTGAAAACAGAATTAATCACCGTTACTGAGAATATTTCCTATTGCAATAATTTACTAAGAAAACGCACCATCCAGGGAGAATAATTCAGATTTGTAGCAGATTCTAGACAACATGTGTGCCAAGTTTGTGTCATTTCATAACATTGTAATTAACATTTTTCCCATGTATTTAAAATGTTTAAACGGTTGCACATCTCGTTTAACATGATGAGATTGAAAAACTGAAACATAAATACATAAAACATTTAGCTCCTATATAAAGCAAGTTTCAAAGTCTGTGTTAATGATAAGTATTACACATAACTTAAATATGTGTTGTATAACTCACTCATGTCCATGTTATTCAAGTTATTTTAAAGTCCATATAATCTCTAAATCTCACTGAATTCCCAAAAGAATTTCTACGCAGCACTTACTGAGAGAGTTAATCTGCTGTGGTCCAAAACCTAATCTTGGCAATAATTCAACTCATTTAGTGTAACAACAGGTTTCACATTCCATGTCAGTGTGCATTGTCTGAATCTGATCAAGATGCAAAGACCTTTTTGAGCATGAATTATAGTCATGTTTGTAATTTGTATCAATTTTCACATGTTATTTTTCACAGTGTAATATAATATAGACTCTAAATACAATGTTTGATACATTTTCAACATGGATAATATGCTCCATGATTCCATTACAATACTACATTACTACATTACACACATACTGCACATTTAACAACCCACATTATGAAATTAAATTACAGAAGGTTACACAAAGGTTTGTCCTTAACCCAAACAGGTACCTTTCATTAAATGTGTTGAAACATCCAAGTTTCAAATTAACATTACGCTGGTAATAAAATTGAAGATGAGCAATAATTTAAGTATTGTGCCCCATAGTCAGTTAATAGATAAGCAGCCTGTATTGTCTATACATGTACATGACATGCAAAGAGAACAGATGCACAGTGTTTGTTTATCATTCCCCACAGGGCTAAGCACCTTCAATCCAAACACAAGAGGCTGTCATATAGCATATTGCATAAAGCATATTATGCCCAATTTACACATTATGTGGAAGACGGATGCTTCTATGTAGAATCTATACAATCATATTGGTATATTTTTTACACACAAAAATAATCTAGGCTGGAATGACACTCCAAATCAGATGAAGTTCAAACATCAAAGCCGAAGCAGCATCCAGTTTAGGAAGATCACCCAGAATTATTTTAAAGAGACAGAACTATATTAAACTTAGTACCGAACACTCTGTATTTATGAGAATTCTGCATTTTTTTTTGACAGATAATAAATTCTCAAAGAATGCAAATATAACCTTAACTTGCAGATTGACACAAACCCTCACATGAATACACAAGTGAGGTCAAGAGGCCCTCCCCCGTGCATACAAGAATATCCAAACTATATCCAGTTGGATGTCTTTACCCTCTTCTATGCCCACATGCACACACATTATAAAAAGGCAGCCTTGTTTCTCTAGAGAGAGTGGAAAAAATGAGCACATGCATTTGGGGAAGGGGTGGGTGTAGGGAAAGGGCAAGACAGCAAAAAGACAGACAATAATATGAATTCACAAGTCAGTCATGGAGCAGCCTTGGTAAAGTTGTATTATACCATACATCCCATGTGGTAATATTTTGATTTCATTAAATACATCCAAAAGGTTCTTATACAAAATTCAACTCATTCTGGCCAACTACAAGTTTACAGAAAAGGGTTCTAAGGAAGTTCCAAGTGATACAGTTTAACAACAGAGGAACAACGACAGTGATGTCCCACTTGTTAAAATGTTTGTCTTACTGTAGTATTGACTTGTGCCACGTATTTATCTCTTTATATGACAAACGAATGAGACACAGACCTCTGTCTCAATATCATGATTCTTTAACTAAAATAATGGCATGTAACAATTCAAATCCAGTTAGCTGGCCAACCAGAACCATGTGGTTTGACAAAACTTTACAAAAGATGAGTGGGGCTGGACCGTATCCTGTCTCCCCGATTCCAGAGAGTGTAACTGACAGGTGGATTAACCAATCAGACAAATGCATGGTCTGCTTGGGTATGAGAGCTACATGACAGCTTATGTTAAAAAACGAGAAAAGACCAAGACAGAGAACTGAGAGCCAGCAGAGATTTCTGAAGAATCAACAATCAAAGCACCAAATATAGAAGGGACAGTTTGCATTCATGTGCATTACCTTGATTTACATGAAATTTACTAATGACTATTTAATAATTTATTTGTCACGTTCCCAGCACAGCAAGACATCCAACACTACTATCTGCACATCTCTTTCTTTTTAGCATCAAACCACAGAAAATTAGCACGTACCATATAGTACTACTCATATATTTTATTTAAAGAATTGAATCACAAGTGTATGTGTGCTGCTCAAGCCGTGTAACAAGTACATGATAAGTAGGTCGGCAGACAGCATTAAAATATTATTACTCAACTCAAACAAAAGTGTAAGAGATTATCTGTGAGGAGTTACTCAATGATCAACTCAGTGACACAGAAATTCACAGTGAGGTATGTGCCAAACAATACAGAGAGATTTAACTGAAGCACTAACACACAGGGCAGGTCTGACTGGCAGGACCACATCTGCAGGTCTTAACCAAGTCTGTCTCAATTATCAGAACTCTCTTCACTACTGTTTCCTGATGCTAACATGCTCACACCGGGTTCACACAAACTCTGTGAGGTAATGACTTACTACAGTGAAATATCTGTAAAGGTTGGAGTATAACCAGACCTAAAATATAATACTTGCATACATAAAGCAGTGGAAAGTAATGACATTTCAGATTTTTTTTCAGTAATATTTACTCTTAAGCCTGTGTTTGGAAAGCCCAAGACACTTCAACATTGGCTAGGATCATCTATGCCTAACTGAAAAAGAAATGCCCTCAAAATTATATTCTTTTTTTCTGTCTGGGTACAAAGTCAAACACAATAAACTCACAGTGTTGATGAGTATTGTAAAAGAAATGGCATAATGCGTTGTCAAATTTAAAATTTTTAAAATTAAAGTGCAATAGGAAACATTTCTCCCTGGAGACATAGTTTTGCCAGGAATATTTCACTCAACTTATATATCTGACATTCAATTACAGGTATTTTAATTGTTTAGAAATAAATGTATCCCAGTTTTAAGTGGGCTTGCGTCTCCACAGATCTGATCTCTAACTTGGCCTAGAAATTAACACTTCCAGCAGTTGCAGACGCTCCACTACAAGCTACGTAAATCAGTTTAAATCAGTTTGTGTTGTGAAGCAAATATAACACTTGTGCTAATTAGGTGTGAATAATTTAGGGAAAAATTGAGTCAGTATGGCAATTCGGATCAAATTTGTGATGTATATTTAGTAATAGAAATCTGTCCAAAGTTCACATTTTAAAAGTGTCCAAAAGAACTGAATAAATAAAATGAAATAAATAAATCTGAACTGACAAACAGGGTTAGCAGTCTTCGCAAATGCAGTCTTAGTGATTTGCCAGTTGCGTCTATTCAAATTGTCATTATGATTTGTTTTTTGATTAATCTTGCAGCCCTGGTGCTCTTATGCAAATATCATTGTTCTTTGTTTAAGTTTAACCAGCACAAGTAGATTAACTTACAGCAATGAAAGAAACTAGGTCAAATGTACAGGACGTGGAACTGAAGACTTAAAGGTTGTATGGAGGATTTTTGTTTTTGTTTCAAATTGTCAGTGAAAGTTTAAAATACCATTACAGAGACGCAGCAGCTTTGTAATTATGATAACCAGAAAAAAAAGAATGAAAATCTATCAACTGTGGACATGTTGAGGCCAGATAAACATCAGCCAATAGAAAACGAGGCTGCCTCTTTATCTATTGGCTGTTAGGTTGTCAATCAAACTCTCTACGTTTCTAGTGTAACTGACAGGATTACGTGGTTTACGCAACGGTTCTTCGAGGCTTTTTCAAACCGTCGCTTCCTCACAATTCGCACAAAGTTTGTCGCGACGGCAGACGAGAATCCACGACCCGTTCGCCGCAAAAGAAAGTCGATTTTTGAGGTCGCTGAAAGAAGAAGAGAAGAGGAAAAGGACTGAAGACAAACTGAGGTGATTCTTGGAGATTCCTTCCAGCGATGGCGCGACTGAAGCAGACGAAGGGTCTAAAAACTGACGCGTTGGTCGATAAAATATTTCTAGACAGGAAACTTCAACAGTAATTCTGAACACGCACTGGATGTAAACAAGTGTGACTCTAGAGTAAAGAGGCGGGAGGAGATGTTTCTACTGAGGGAGCTGTAGAGGAGGAAGGTGGTGTCACACATGCACAACATTTGAAAAAGGACTGTCGCAGTATTTCTCTTCCCTTAAAAAATCCTCTATACAACCTTTAAATACTGAAGAAACAAAACAAAAATACCACAAGTAATCAACTCATTTAAATAAGTGTATTGGCTACATGCCCTCATATAATATGCCTAAGACACAAATAAAGTTTGTGTAAAGGAGAACAAATGAATTACTTAGAGAAAACTGTCAATGATCTGAGCTGCTCTCTTGGTTATGGTTTACCGTCAAAGGGAGATGTAAAATGCAAGATAGCCATCAAAGAGTTTCAACAAAACAAAACATTTAACGAGCAGAACATACTGTAACAGCAATACCCAAGAAAAATAAAGGAAATAAAAAGATCAAAGGCCTTTATCATAATTATTAATAATAGTATTTCCTTCTTCCAAGTTCCTTCAAGTAACTATTTCTTATTTAGCAGAAAATGCTAAATTATGACAGTTTGTTTAACAGTACATTTTAGTGAAATCGTATACAATAAATTACTCAAATAAATATTTCATTAAAAAATACATATATATTTTAAATGTTGCAAACTGAAATGATCACAGATGTCAGTTATATTTTATAGTGGGTTTTCAAGGTGGTCTCAGTCTTAAAGGTTGGAAACCCCTGAACTAGAAGAGCGTGCGGCTATGTAAATTATGACTAAACCTGGACTAGACCAAACCAAGTCTACATCAGTGTTCTCAGTTTTGTTTTGTTTGTTGTTTTTGTCATATCTCTCCATAGCAAGTAATTTACCAAACAGATAGTTGGCAATAGTTCAGACTCTGTTCCCATCATTGCACACTGTCCTTGTGTTACTGGGCAAGATATTTCATCCATAACATTTAGGAAAAACATTGTAAAAAGGCTTACGCAGTCTATAGATTTGCTCTAGACTTTCAAAGCCCCTTTCTTTTACCAACCATGGTTAATGTCTAACAAAATGTACCAAATTTGTAACTCAGTCAGTGAAGGTTAAGTCAACAAACATCAAATGTTCCGTCATTGACAAAGGTAAAGTAACTTCTTTGTGACAAACTGAATTCTTATGATTGCCAGTCTAAACTTCCGTAGCAGTGGTTGCATTTGCTCCTTGTCTCGAAGTTGTTTTGCCAAGTCTAAAACCTGCTTTACCAGCATGAATGCTGCTACTGTGTATGTGGCTGCTCTATAGGAGGAGAGAGGTGTCCATTTCTGCACGATTTACAATTCTCACAGTTCAGATTGGCTGACAAACAGCATCTCAACAGCACAATGGTACAGCGAGGGGTGGAGGGGGATAACGGGGGTATCTTGCACAAGGTCAAAAAGAGTGTTAGTGTCTTGAATCCAAGCTAAAACACAGTCAATTTACTCAGTGGTAGAAAAAATAATTCAAATATACATAATAGAGTTGTCAGAAGTATTAAAAATCTGATAATAATACTAAGACTTGTATTGAAACTCATGACACTCATTTGAGCGAGCATCGATACTAATAAAGTCACATGACAGAAATGAACCTTTTCTTAATAGCTTTAAAATTATATTGAGGTATATCAGACCAAGGATAGTGCCACATAGCCTAGTATATGCCTATGGACCACTATGGAACCTATCTGGATGAAATAAGACATGGTATGGTAAAATAAGAGAAAGTATACTGATTTAATGTTTAAAATTACATTCTACTGTTTAAAGAAAGGATCTTTATTATTTTTATTATCTATATTGTAGGGCTGGGTATCATTAAGAAGTTGCCGATACGACACATACTTCGATACATAGGCCACAATACATATCTCGATACAGTGCACTTTCGATTCAACACGATATATTTCAAATCGATTTGATACGGTTCAATAAAAAAATAATGGCAAAATCATGGCTGTGATCCTAAAAGTCTTTGTTAAATCGTTTCCTGTGCAATGTTAATATAAAAAACGCCAATTTTAATCATCAAAACAGTGAAAATGTCAAATATGTTGCATAAACGAGTTTCCTTCCTCTAAACAAGCAACAAAACTGTAGCGCTGTAATAAAATAATTCAGCAAAATATACCAAAAATTACTCTTGGTGATGTATCGGTACAGCAGCCCACGATATCGATACTGTATCATCACATTAAATGATACATATATCGATATTTTGACATTTTTGCACACCCCTACTATATTGAGCATCAAGTCTATTCCTTAGTATCAACATCAAATGTGAAATTTTACATTTTAGTATTGTGACAACATTAATGTATAATGATACTAGAGCTGGGTATCATTAAGAATTTGTCGATATGATACACACCTCGATATATAGGCCACGATACGGTTGATGATACTGTCCATTTATTTAAAATGTGTTTACTGGGATTATTTTGCTATGTGACAGTGGCATCAAGTAGTTTCAATATAATCGTTTATATCTCTGTAGCAATATATCGTGCCTCGTGCAAATCATGACTGACCTAGAAATCGACACAATGACCTAGCAATAGTTTTACATAGCAAAGATTTTTTTACATAATCTTTCCATTTGTTCAAGGCTAAGAATAAATAACCAACAAAAGAACTTCCTTGAGGTGGGATTAATTTTGCAGTATTATTAGGTCTGATTGTAACTAGTTCTTAAATCCATGATTAATGTGTTGTGCAATGACCAAGTGAACAACACGCAAGGTTTGTTTTAAGGGCAACAATTTGGTCCCATATTATGCTGAATTGAATACTTTGAGATTTTAGCCAGGATATAATGTTGGGATCTCATCAGAAACATACCTGGAGTTGTGTTTTGTTTCAATCACACATGTTAGAGTAATCCTTTATTATCTATCTACATCTGATCCACCTTGTGATGTGACGAAGCAGAAGTTTTCAAGTTAACCGTTACCTTTTACCTTTTACCTTTTGTTCAGTAGAGATTGGCAATTCGAGGGCTGAAATGATCCAAATGATTTTAAATAAGGTGTATGGAGTTTAAAAACACACTTCCTGTATTTCCACAAGACATCACAAGGTGGAACGGAGTGTTTTCTGTTTGAGAGAAAAACTAAATATGCAGCATTTGTGTCAAACATTGAATGAAAAAACTACAACAACATTATAAAATAAATAAGATAACAGCGTAATATAGGACCTTTAATTAAAGAAACAGCATTTGACTAGATGTATTTGCACTGTTCGGGTTTTGAGGCTGCTTCATCACATTCTGAAAGCACCAGGGTACATTCAGTGTCCTCCAGGCTTCTCCCAATGCCACAAGCCAATATTGACAAACCACTAACTGCAGGCAGATAGTGTTACCTTATACCCTCCCAAAGCTCCACACAGCCTCTGCTCTCAAGACAACAACAAGATAGCTTGCCACAAGGGTTTGGTAATGTAAGGTATTTGTAAGTAAAAGATTTCAAAACAAAAGAAGTGACACACACAGACAAGCCATGTTAGGGCATTCAGGAAACTAGAGACTTTACTTCCACAACTGAAACTTCACAAAAGACAAAAACTCCACAGATCAACTAACATGCATAGTTCATCACCTTTTCAAACACAGTCACAGCTGGATGGATTGTTTAAAAACCAGTGAATGAGCAAATAACAAACAAACCAAACCTGCTTTAATTCAAGTCGGACCACGGTGAGGCACGCTGCCATTGGCTGTGTAATGTCTGACATAATGGCAATTGACGAAGGTAGCTTTTAACATGCTGTACTGGAACATGTGCTATATTTTTATGTTTATTACCAAATACACAGGTAATTGCCAAGCTTTAAGATAAGATAAAGCAATAAATGAAAAAAATATATAAATATAAGTAATACAAGTTATTGTGTAGGTATAACAGCCAAAGAAAAAACTGAAACCTAAACTCAACAACATGCATTAATAAAGCAATATCAGCAAAAAATCATTAAAGCTCCTATATTACACAAAATTTGCTCTTTAACTGAGCTTTATGCCATGTTATAATGTTGTTACCTCCTCAAAAAAAAAAAAAAAAAAAATTATTAGTCTCTTTCCATGTCCAAAGCTCAAACGCTCTGTTCCACCTTGTAATGTCATGAAGCAGTAGTTCATTTCTACCTTTTATCTTTACAGATCAGTACAGACCGGCAATTCCAGCATTGAAATTATCAGTGTTTTCCGACTGAGAGAAGAACACAGCCTAAACATGCATGATTTGAGTGTTAAACATGTGCGAATGAAATAAAACAAAACTCCAAGTATATTTATGAAGATGAAGAAAAAGAAATGTTTTAACATAGACCAAAAACAACATAATATGGGTCCTTAAAATAAAACTATATCTGGCAGTAAATCACAAATGTATTTAGTCTATAGCAGCTGTTCTCAAATCTGTAACTAGGCTGTTGGCTGCTCTTGGCTTCTGGTAGAACAAAGTGTGATATTCTTAAAAAGTAATACATATCTGAATTTGGTTCTTATATTTGTTTAGTCGATTAATTTGTTTCGTTGGTTTTGTTCAGATTAAGTTGTTTTTTAATCTTGGACTGGAGTTTAGATAGAGCAGTAGGTAAAGTTGTGTTGTTTACGGCAGTGATTTCATTTTGTAGATGGACCACTACACTATTCTAGACGGATACAGGTGCACCTTTGCCAATGCTCACAGCGCCAAGAAGTAGTAACCTTTATGTAGCTTATGCGCTTGGAAAGACAGAAGTTAGGTCACAAGTTACAAGTTAAAAGAGTAAACTTCTGTATTTTCTCCTGTCACTTTGTAATTATGTATAATGGACGTAGATGGCGACAACAGGGTGACGAGAGAGGGAGACATTCCGCGACAACCCGAAACTGACTTGAACAAGTTGAGCCAAGGTTTATGGTAGCTTATATTCACATTTAGGAACAAAACTACTTAAGAGAGTGAAAAGGAACGCGTTCAGTATCTGTTTATGGTCGTTTATTATGCTGCACCAAATTAACACTGATTCAAGTTTCCTAAGTTTCGCCGTCTTTGGAGCAAGTGTGACCGGCTCACCTCTTCCGCCTTGGTTGAAGTGTGCCTTGGTTAGTTAGGTTTCTTTTCTTGTGTGTTTCGATCAGCCTCTCCAGTCGCAGCCTTGAAGATCTGTCTCGAGGTAGTTTGAGGAAGTGTTGTGTCGCTGTGAGCAGAAGACTTGCTTGTGCGTCCGTCTGTGCGTCCGTCTGTGCGTCTCGTCTGTGGCGTCTTTTCAGCGGCTCTGGAGTGTGGCGGCGCTGAGCACAGAAGCCTTGACGTCAACCAGGTGAATTCCCCAGAGCGCACGGCAACGGGAGCGCGCAGACTGCCTGGGTTTCCATCATTTACCTTGGAGGAGCTCACTCACATGAACCCGCATCGTAAACTTTGCCAGGACAGGGCAGTACAAACAAACCCATTTGATCAAACAAACACCCGCATTTCTTTCCATGAACCAGAAATGCCAGGAAGTGGAACATGAAGTGAATTCCTACATAAGAGATCGGAATATTTCATTATTATTTTTTGTTATCTAATGAATTATAATGACAGTTTGGCGACCGTGCAAATATCAATTAATTAATGCACTCGGTTTTAATGCTTATACGTCTTAAAGAGCCACTTAGTATGAGTATGTATGATTATAAGTAAGTATGGGTATCTTATGGTCACCCTATATTTATACATTAAAACAAAGTGTATTTGGTTTGAGCCCCCACACATGAAGAACACACAGCATAAGGCTATAAAAGTTTGTCTCTAACATTTACATTTTATTACACAGCTCTAATCTCTTCTTGTCGGACCAGGCTGAGTCACCAAACCCCACCCACCAAACCTGTATAAGAATGGTTCTGTGACTCTAGAACCAGCGTCCGACCTAAACCCTGAAACGCCTAATAATAGCCCAGAAGAACAAAACAATGACATAAAGATTGAGTCATTGCTTTCAGATAGTCAGCTTTTTCCAGTGCCAAATTGTCAGTTAACCATGCATGATATTGTGAGTGTGCCCCACTTAAAGTGTGTCTGACAGATTTTAATGATTGTCTAGCTTTGACCTAAGGTGCACTCTGTAACTTTTCTAGTGGAGGGTCTGTCACCTGCTTGTTTCTGTGGATGTCATTGCTCTACCTGGACTCTTCCACAGTATGACATTAAACAGCTCTACCTTATATTCAATTACAGGTGGTTTTACAGCTCGAAAATACCCAGAAAAACAGGCATTCTGGCTGTGAGCGGGGTTGTTTCTTCACAAATCTGAGCTGTAACTTGGTCAGGTTTGGTGACCATGAAGATAGAAAGGTTTAATATCGTACTGTGAAGCATTCCAGACAAAGCAATGACATTTTCTAGCCTGATTCATCAGCCGGTTTCACTGCATGGAAACCATCTGACTTCGCAGCATTAGGATTAGTTCGCTCAATGGTAGGCGGGTACTTTTTTTATTTAACCATTCACTGCTATTTGGTCGTGATGTATGTAATGTGCCAAATCCCATAGGAAGAAGGGCAATAACGTCTTTCCCCTTGATAAAATTCACCAAACATTCTCTTTGTTCCAGCTTTAAATCCTCGATTTTGGAAATTGTTGCCATCATAGAATGTATGGCTTCGTCTACGTCCACCTCGAATGCTTTGTTTACTGTTGTGCTGTACCACAAAAGGGACCCAGACAGGCACTTGAGTTGGACGTCATTGCTTCACAGCTCTTTGCTGATTGGCCGGTGCACGATCTACAACTTCAGGCGTTCTTGCAAACCGTCTAGTGTATTCCCATTCCTGACCTAGTCGGTGGAGAGAAATGAAACTGAGCGAAGGCACTAGGTGGCGCCAGCCTGGATAAATGTTTCCATGGGGAAAAGCATTTGAAAGTTACACAAGGTACCTTTAGAATAAAAGTTTAAAAATATGTTTAAAATAACAGGAAGTAGAGAGTTTGAGTATATTGATGACATCCAAAAGATCTGCATGTAAGAAACAAATTTTTCCAATACTTTAAACATGATTTTAACAGATTTTAATAGAGGTGTTTTGTTATATTTGTATTTATCAGATAATAATTTCTGTGTACATTAATGGAGTTTTGCTAGGTTGCCTGTAGTAATGGAGTTACCTAATGTGATGTCACCATTCCCAACCAGGAAGTACATTTTAAATCTTAAATATAACGATCTTAACTGTGTTTTCATAAAATTAGTAGTTTGATTAGCAGGCACTTGAACTCGATGTGGCAGAAAAGTCAATTTTTTTGTAATTTTATGTGTCCAGGTTTTAAAACAGTATTAGTTTCATTAAAAGTAAATATAATAACATAATGCTTGTTTTGTTCTTTATATTACATTTAACCATAATTACTAGATACACTTTTGTCATGTCAATCATTATTTCATCTTTGTACTGTTTCCTCGTTACAGCCTCTTGTATACAGCTGAGAAACATATTTGTATTACTATATTTCTATATTTTTACTTGTACATGCACATTTAATTATGGCTTTTTTGTACTTATTTTGAATGTATTATTGCATTATTAATTATTTTAAGAATTATTATTTATTATTTGTATTTATATTTTTGCACTTTGTTATTATAATATATTGTGATGTGTGACCTACTGTGTGCAAATAATTTCATCAATCACTGAAGTCAGTTTATCGATCAATAAAGTTTGTTAATATCTTACTCAAGACATTTTATTTCCACAACTTCTCATCCCCATTTCCTTCTTTTGATAAAGCGTATATTCCTTTTTATCTCTTTCTTTCCTTTATCTATCTTTCTTCTCTTTTATATCTTTTCTTTTTTTATTTTGTTTTTAGCATATTTTGTTTACTTTACTTTATATTACATGCATTAATTTCAATATCTGTTAGAAGGATTTGAGTATTTAAATATATAATTTGCATTCTACTTGCATATATCACTTTGATTAGCCTACATGATATTTGCTTGCTACACTTCTAAATTTAGTTTTAAATCATTATGTCAATATACCTGTGTAGGAATATTTTTGACTATAATACTACTTTGAGGTAGCGTGACTTCTCTACTTTTTCTTTTTGTTTTGTTTTCCATTACAAGTTCTGAGATGACATCATAGAGTAAAATCCCTGTAATAATCTATGAGTTATGCTCAGGTGCCTTTGAACTGCCCTTTGACCTTTCCACTGATACTGTCAGAGTGCTAGTGTTTGTACAACTCAACATTCAAGTTCAGCTGGATCTGAGCCCGAAGAAAATCAGAGTTTACATTCTCCATTTACACACAGGGAATTCCACTGTCTTGAAATAGAGTTGATGACAATACTCACTTGTTATGTCATGGCACCTGCATGACACAGCAGTAAATGGCTCTTATTTTTAATGTAGATCCAACAAAACATTCCTATTCCTATCAATTTCAGTAAAACTCCAAAAACCCTCAGTTGTTGCAGTTTGAGATCAGCAAAATGTAAATGTGCCTTTCTTGTAATTCAGCAGTTGTGAAGCTACTGAGGTCCCATACACCGTTTGATAATGGATCATCACCCACTGGGCTACAGTAAAGGCTACTATTCTTTCTTATATTAAAGCACCCATATTACACTATTTTCTAACCCATGGTATAATGTTGTTTCCTCATTAAAAACATACCTGGAATTGTGTTTTGTTTAATACAAACCCTGCCTATTTAAGCTAAGTTCTTCTCTCAAACCACAAATACTCTATTCCACCTTGTGATGTCATGTGGTAATACAGGAAGTGCTCCACTGTGTTTTAAACTTCATACACTTTCACACTTTCATATTTGGATAATTTGAGCTCTGGAAATGCCAGTTTAGGCTACTGAACAAAAAGTAAAGGGTATCTGTTAACTTAAACTACTTCTTTATGACATCACAAGGTGAAACAGAGCATTTTGAACTTTGCAGATGCACACAGACATAAAGAATTACACAAACACCTGTGAATAGGAGTGTAATGATACCCAAGTCTAACGATATGATATCATCATGGTATGAACCTCATGGTACGATATTTATTGCGATATCGTGGGAAAGCTCACGATACGGTGGGGAGACTCATGATTAGGGATGCAAATATCCAAAATATCTCAGTACAATATTTTCACAATATACATCTCACAGTACGATATTTATTGGGATATCTTATGGAGGCTAACAAAACTGTTAATATGCTACTTTTTACTCTTAAAATGTCTTGACATGACTCAATCCAAAGAACTAAGACTTAAAAGTGATTAGAAGTGTTATTTCTTCTTGTAGTCTGCGCTGAAATAGAGCAAAGGATCATGGTCTATGTAGGTCCCTCTGTCTTTTTTCTAGCTATTGTTGCACCATAACTCTTAATTTAAAGGTCCTATATTACACTAAATGTTGTCCTATGGACTTTAAGCCATGTTAAAATGTTATTACCTCACCAAATACATACCTAGAGTTCTGTTGCTTCATTCACAGGTAGGGATGTAACAATAACTGAAATATCGTGATATTGTATCATCAAAGTTCTCAAAATAATATTGTGGACCATTACAGTATATCGAATCACAAGTCTCTTTGCTTAAATGAGCTTTTCTTTATTATTCAGCGGTTGTGATGCTACTGATTCACCACACACAGCATGACGACAAAGGATCAAGAACCACTGGCCTATTGTACAAGTTAACTTATTGCTAATTTATCATCACTAACTCACCCAACGCATAGTGTTCAGTCTTTCTAGAAACATGCTGACATTATTTGACTTTTGAAGTCAAAGTCAATAGAAGTCTAAACTACTCCTTTTTTGTCAATGTCAGTGTCAAATTTATCTAAAAAAAAAAACAAAAAAAAAAAACAAAACACATTTTAAACAACTTATACAATAAAGTACAATATTATTACTTTGAAGATACGATTTTGACCAAATACAAGAGGGAAGCTGGCAGTACATGTATTTTAGTGTTTGAAGGAAATGTCACTTCCTCAGATTTTGATGCATTTCTCACTTCTCCTCTCTCATCAGAAAAAATGTAGCAGGTCATTTCTGCTCATGGGATGGTGTAATTAGAGCAACCCCAATCTTCTGTTCTGTCTGTGTCCCAGCTGACATGCATCATTAACAACTGAGTATAGAGTATAGACAATGATGACTTCACTTCATACTTTGCCACTGAAATAAATATTATAAAATGTAATACATTTTGGTACAGAAAGAG